GGAATACCACAAGTTCTGTGTCAGCTTGAACAACAGCTTGAACAACAGCTTGGAGGATGATTCTCCCATTGACGAGAAAGGGGAAATCGAGCATTGCGACAGCATGATCGCCGAACAGAAAGATCAAGTTCGACTGTTTCGTTCCAGTCTGCTTGCCGGTGTGAAGGCCCAGGAAGATCGACGTGGCCGTTCCAGACGGACTCCGACCCCCCCTGATCATCTTCAAATTGGTCTGAGCATGGATTCCGACTCCGAAATGCATGATCCGATCGTCAGCAAGAGCAAAGACAGCGTCATTGGTATTCAAGAAAATGACGCCTTTTCTCTTCCCGAGACATTGAAACCCATTACCTCTTTCCAGCAAGAGAGCGAAGAGTCTCTGGATTGCCTCATTAAAGAACTGGAGGCCGAAGATGGAAACGAACCTGATGTGGACGCAATCACTATCCGAGCTGGGGAAGTTCACCCATACCCGCCTTCGCTGTTGGACACTAAGGCCAACGAGGGCCTCGACGACGCAGAGGTGGCCTCTCGACGCAAGAAGTATGGCTGGAATCGCATGAAGGAACAGAAACGGAATCATTTCATCAAGTTCCTTTCCTTCTTCAATGGCCCTGTCCAGTGGGTCATGGAGGTAAGCAAAACCATTCATTGACCACTATGAGGTAGTTGGAAAAGGTATATGCTCACAATCTTTTCTCAATTCCAGATTGCCATTATCCTAGCTGGCGGCTTGCAAGATTGGATAGATTTCGGAATAATTTGTGCTCTTCTCCTGTTGAATGCTGTGGTAGGCTTCGCTCAGGAATACCAGGCGGGCAACATTGTCGACAGTCTCAAGGAAACGCTTGCTCTGAGAGCTCTGGCCGTTCGCAACTGTTGCATCATGGAGATAAATGCCGAAGAGGTCGTTGTTGGTGACATCATTCGTGTGGAAGATGTGAGTTGATGGGGATTGAAAAAAAAAGAGAAAGAAAGAAAGACATGGAGGCTAATATTCCTTTTAGGGCACAATCATCGCGGCAGATGGCAGACTGGTGGGTGACGACGCCTACATTCAAGTTGATCAGTCTGGAATAACAGGGGAATCTCTCGCTGTGGACAAACACGAGGGGGATCTTATCTTTGCTTCGTCGGCAGTCAAACGTGGGGTAGGGCTCATGATTGTGACCGCAACTGGTGATCATACCTTTGTCGGAAATGCAGCAGTTCTGGTGGACAAGGCTGGAAATACCACCGGCCACTTCACTCGGGTCCTGCGCGCAATGGCGCGTGTTCTTCTGATTCTAGTACTTTTCACCCTGTTGGTTGTCTGGATCAGCAGTTATTATCGCTCAAACCCGATTGTTCAGATCCTCGAGTTCACGCTAGCAATTACCGTGATTGGAGTCCCCGTCGGTCTTCCTGTGGTTGTCACCACAACAATGGCCGTTGGTGCATCTTATCTGGCGAAACACAAGGCCATCGTGCAAAAGCTCTCAGCTATCGAGTCGTTGGCCGGAGTGGAGATCCTTTGTTCGGACAAAACGGGAACACTCACCCGAAACAGACTGACATTGGGAGATCCATACATAACCCCTGGAATGAGTGCAGAAGAGCTTATGCTGACTGCATGTCTTGCGGCGACTCGCAAAAAGGGCGGGATCGATGCTATCGACAAGGTGTTCCTCAAAGGTCTCCGCCACTTCCCGTGGGCCAAATCTCGAATCGCCTTGTACAAGACACTTGAGTTCACTCCATTTGATCCGGTGTCGAAGAAAGTCACAGCATACGTGCAAGATCTGAATGGCGAAAAGATGATCTGTGTGAAGGGTGCTCCTATGACCATCCTGAGAACGGTGGAGACAGAAACCTCACTGTGCGCCCAGTTTTTCAAGGAATATGAGGCCAAGGTTACCGAGTTTGCCAGTCGAGGATTCCGCGCACTCGGAGTTGCCCGCAAGCGTCAAGGTCGGCCATGGGAGATTCTGGGAATCATGCCATGCATGGATCCCCCCCGCCATGACACCGCCAGGACAGTTTCCGAGGCCCAAGAACTAGGACTCTCTGTCAAGATGCTCACTGGTGATGCAGTGGCCATTGCACGCGAAACGGCACGCAGACTCGGTCTCGGGACCAACATTTACAATGCAGAACGCCTTGGTGTCACTGGCGCCGGCTCCATGTCCGGCTCGGAAGTGAATGACTTTGTTGAGGCCGCTGACGGTTTCGCAGAAGTCTACCCCCAGCACAAGTACAGTGTGGTTGAGATCCTCCAGCGACGCGGCTATCTGGTGGCAATGACTGGCGACGGTGTGAACGATGCTGCTTCGTTGAAGAAGGCGGATACTGGTATTGCGGTCGAGGGTGCATCCGATGCGGCCCGTTCTGCTGCTGACATTGTCTTCTTGGCGTCTGGTTTGTCGACAATTATCGAGGCGATCAAGATTGCTCGCCGAATCTTCCACCGTATGTACTCATATGTTGTGTTCCGAATTGCGCTGTCCATTCATTTGGAAGCCTTCCTCGGACTTCTGATGGTGATCAAGAATGAGACCCTCGACCTTCGCCTGGTTGTTCTCCTCGCTATCTTCGCCGATGTTGCGACCTTGGCAATTGCGTATGACAATGCTACTTATTCTCAGTCGCCCGTCAAATGGAACCAGCCAAGACTCTGGGGAGAATCGATTGTTCTAGGGTTCATTCTTGCAGTCGGGACCTGGGTGACGTTGGGCACCATCCTGTTGCAAGGCGAGGACGGAGGTGTGATTGAAGGCTGGGGTTCACGAGATGAGGTCTTGTTCCTCGAGATCGCTCTGACCCAGAGCTGGTTGATTCTGATAACTCGCATCAATGGATCTGGATCGGAGTCGTTCTGGGCCAACTGCCCATCGTTTTACCTTGTCGCTGCCGTGGGTTCTGTCGATCTGACCGCAACCATGATGGCTGCATATGGTGCCTTCGGTCAAGCCACATCCTGGTTAACTGTCCTCCGTGTGTGGATTCTTTCCTTTGGGGTGACATGTGTAAATGGACTGGCTTACATCGTGATGCATAACTCGCAAAGATTTGACAACCTCATGCATGGCAAAGGTCCTCGAAAGAAGGATAAAGAACGCTCCTGGGAAGACTTCGGTAAGTTAGCAGAGACCCAATTCTTTCTCGCATCCTCAACACAGAGAACTAACCAGTCATAGGTCTTGACATGCAACGAATGGCAAAGCAGCATGAGAAGAGCAGTTAGTGGTGGGTTGAAACCCCCCAGTACTGCCACTAATGATGACGATGAATTGATGACAATGATAAATGGCAAGATGCCTTTAATCGATGCATTTTAATGATTTTATCATATCTGGTGGAGGGAACAATGGATGCAAAGGGGACAAAGTCTTGTTTCTCATCAGGCGATACTCGATGTCGGGCCTGCAGGTTCTTATTCTTATTCGGACGCTGAACAGTGATTAACAGACCTTAATTCTACCAGTTTATCTTGAATTCCTTCCTGCTATTGTATGTTCTTTTGCTAAAACCTTTGATACAGTATCATCTTTTTGGAGTGGTAATTGTTGCCATCACAATCCCTCGAGGCCTAAACAGAATTGGCTCGAAAATCAATTTTGAAGAAATCGGCAATTTTGAAATCGAGTAGTCGCCGCGGCCTTACTAGGCAACGAAGGAGCCGCGGTACGATCCCTATTTGGCGGGTATTGACTCGAAAGCCGGGATTTGAAGTAACCGAATAATGGTACTAGGCAACGGCAAACTGAGTGACAGATATAACAGGAAATTGGGCTTCCCTCGCGAATGGAACCCTCAAAGGTTCGCGTTGCACACGGAACACAGATGGTTTACAACCCACACGCAGTCTCGACAATCCTGTATACTTGCAGATTCCATGATATTTGCACATGCAGGGGGATGAATCCGTTGAGCCAAGCATATAAAACTCAAGCAATGTGGCTTCATGGAATTTATACAGCAAACCTGATCATCTGCATACTAATACTTATATAGCAACCTACCGGACCGTTTCCCTCTATTTACATGTACATTGTACATGATGTATGTGCGTACCCATGGCAGGACCCGCGGCATGACCACGTCCACAGGCCAGGATACATATATCTAGAGAACGACTAAGCATACATGGACTGCCTAGCCTTGAACAGTGGGATATCTATGTTGGTAAGCGCCTGGAAGGTTTAAAGTTGTAGGGTTGGAACCTTCCACAAAATCTTCCAAGCTTGCCCTAGAATGACTCAATCGAGCTGGATATGAGCTCTGTGCAACATGCTAAGCTAGCTTTTATGCCATGTGCATGCTTGGCTTTACTCCTGGTGACGTTACTAAATGGGAATATCCAAAATAGGGTTAAGGCTACTTATCTGCAGATGGAATTCTCAAGAACCGACAGGAATATAATACTGACACATGGGAGAACTGATCAACCATAAAATAGATCAACAGTGGATATTCATTTGAACTAATAATACAACCAATCAGCTTCAATTTCTGTGGCAGCAAAGATTGACATTTCCAAGTGGGCGGTCGTATTCCAAATTTCTTGCAAGGAATGGTCCGGAACAGTGGCGGTTTGGTCTTGGCTAACAGTATTCCCTGCCCCCGCCCGGCTCATGCGAGCATTGTCCACGTCGGAATTAGGGCTACGCAAGGGGATCATTGTAGCTTAGAAGGCTCTATCTGTATTAATACACAATCCAGCCCGGGGGTGCCATTTTTGAGCATCACCTCGAAGATCTAGGTTGCATACGCCTATGAATTCCAGCTCACTATTTGATACACTATCGAAACGGAATTCAAATCATTCATGTAAAGGCAAGGTCAAAACTTTAAAGTCGAGCTTTGAAAAAGAGTGGAAGAAATACATGTACATTATTCACGCTGTCCTAAAGAATCCATAGATACGAAAAGCACTAACTAGCCTTCTCAACAGTGTCAAAAGCCAGGACCCCCAACTCCACGGTTGTCAAGCCAGTAGTGACCTTCGCCTCCACAATCCATCAGCTCTGGCTATTGGATCGGCAATAGTTTACCGAGCTCCCACCCCCAACAAAGCTATCTTTGGCCTCGGCGTCAGCTTCCCACTGGAAACGCTGTTGTCGGCGGTACATTCGCCAGAAGACAAGACTGCCATGAATCTGGGCCGCGGAGAACGCCACATGCAGGACCGGCGTGACAATCTTAAATGCAAGCCGCCACCTGTCCCACGTGCTTGCAAACAGCCACATTGTCACAACCGTCTCGGTGATTGTACCCAATGCGGTTGTAAAACAGGAGATGAGGAAGACCTTGCTGAGGAAGTGGTGTCGTTCGGGGAAGATACGGTAGAGAACGATAGCGACGTGGGGGAATAACTCGAACACTGTGTCGAATGCGCCTAAACCCCAACTTTATTAGTATTTTTTTGGTCCTCTGTTCGTTGTTACCCCGGAGCCTCGTCTACTTACCCCAGACAGTGCAGAGAGCAAACTCGATATATGCGTCGGGTTCGCGTAGCGGTCGCAGACTGATGGCTATGGCAGCTTGTCCAATGAAGATTGTCCCAACGTGGTGCATCACGGCCACGGGTGATAACTTCATGCGGTAAATCAACTCAAAAATGTATATCCCAATCAACATTTGTGCCACAATAATCATGATGTCCCCCAGTGTGACTAGTGAGCCATGGACGAAGGGCGTGTTGAATGACGGCCCTCTGCAAAACGTGATACTGATGAATGGGTATGCGGCAACAATCAAGATGATCACTTTGGTGGCACCGGCGATATGATGATTCACGAAGCCACGACGATTTAGCTCGCTCATTCCTGTGTATATGGAGCCATATAGACGACGGACGAGGAATCCTTCGAGGATGTAGAAGCGAACGAAGAAGCATATCACCAACACGATGGAGATGATCAAGGCGGAAAATGGCGCCAAATTGGAGATTGGACCTAGTTCTTTTGTGCCTAGAGGGGTTGAGCGAGGGTGTTGTACGTGGATCTCCATTCTTGTGTGTTTGTTGGAGGAGTGAATGTATTTGACAAAGAAATAACGAGAAGCGATAATGAGAGATGAAGAGATGAGGATACTAAAGAGAGTAAGGCATGACAAGAGTGAAGTAAAAGAAAAAGAAACGAAAAGAATGAATGGATGACAAGCAAGCCTTGCAATATGCGTTATTTGAAGCACTCGGGTACTGTCGAGTGTGAAATCGGAAAGGTTGTGCCGGAGAATTGGAGAAAGAGTAACGAAGACCGAAGGACTGAATGAGCACGGGGAAGGTTGTTACCCGGGGTGCCCATAGCCAGTAGACCCCGCACACTGTAGACACTACACGGCGTTAAATCGGCGGTAAATATTTCACTGGTTTTTTAGGACACTCAGCCCCACAGAATATACAAACGTTGAAGTTACACGATGCTCACACTTCCTGCCTTAGCAGATTCTTTTTTGTCTTACATTGAAATGAGCTTTACACATCAACTTCCCCGGATCTGAGCTAGTAAATATTATAAATAAATCAAATGCAAGTCCCTGTCTTGAACACACAGATTGAGGAGATGAAGGGAATCAAAAGTCGAAATGAGAGATTAAGCCTAAGCCAAGCTTTGCTGGACGGCAGCAAAAGCTTGAGCAGTGGATACTGCAGGTCGGCCTGTATGGTTGGTGATTGGCTACGGTGTTCTCCATTCAGGGTACTATACCCTGGTTCAGCCCTGTTTAGGCAACAGAATAAACAATAGGGTTGCCTGCTCAGAGCGGATTGGATCTTACTGTACGGAGTATGTACGGAGTATAATTAGCCGAATAGGGGAAATTAGGTTGCCTGGAAACTTTCCGGGGAAAAGTCAATCGTCTTATATATTTAGAACATTTAGAATAAGGCCGACTATTCTTGTATCTCTGAATCTTTTATTTATTTGACCTGGAACAATGTGTCTCGTTCCGGGATGTTGTCGCCAAGCTACAAAGAGCGCATATATTGGATGTGGTAGAGTTAATAATAATGCTATCATTTGTATTCTCAAGTATGGTATGATTGTTTGGTAACCTTTGCAGCTTCTAAGACATCGATCTATTGCATGTTGTTACTTCTAAAGGCCTATTAAATTACTGAAATTGCATATCCCATCCCCACTTGGCAATCTTCTACAACCATTCCTTCTCGATTATCATGTCGGTTTCTCTTGGTGTTTGAGAATCTCGCAGGAAAAAGAGATGAAAGGGGAATGATGAGTGGACCCCCAGGAAATTTGTCTTCATCGATCTCGCTCTCTGAAACTTCAATATGTTGGGATTGAAGGGATGTGCCATTGATTATCCCATACACACTTGTCAATACCAATTATCGGTCGCTGGCGATTGACTTTGATTGTTATCGCAACATTGGCATTCCTTCTAACTGGGTCAAGCCAGAGATCGACATGATTGACATGATCGACATGATCGACATCACGGTGAATTTTTCTTTCAGTCTCTGGCACAGTGACTTTGTAAACCACTGTTGGCCGCTTAGGACAGCCGCGAGGGGGTCTCCTCGGGCCCCAGCCCATATCTAGCTATTTCAGCTGCCCATTGACATCGATGTCAACACCTTGGTATTGATGGATGGCTTCGTCAGGCCTCATGCGTTCAAGAACCTTGTCAATGGCTTTGTGGACGGCGAAGGCGCTCTGAGTGTTCACGAGTGACCATCTTGACACTAAGTAATTCGGTCTTTGGGTTGAAAGATGTTCGGATCAAATGAATAGAGATGGCATCCGGGCCAATAAAATCCTGTTGAAAAGTGGTAGAATCAATGGAGAACATAATGTATTCGGTGGTCTTAATATTTGGCTCTACTGTATCGATGTTGGTCATTTCACGTGAATCCCGCATCGAATCAAGCAGACGTTCACGCTCAAGGGAAAGTATTCGAGAAAAGCGATCTTTTCTTTCATAACGATACCGCCTAACATATGGAGATAGACCCTCTAAATCAGTATCGGGCTCGTTTTGATTTTGATCGGACGTGTTGCGTGATATCTGGATGCCGAGGGGATGTGTCAAGATAAATCCAAAGTTTGACTCTCCTCGTAGCGAAGGGTAAGCACTCAATATAAAAATGTCGCGGGATGTCAAAGTTTTACCTTTCCAAGTTTTTCTTACAGGTTGTTGGGAGTAGCTGTAGAAATGACGAAATGAAGGTCAATAAATGCTGTTTGGTTACTAAATTTTGCAGACGAACCAAAACAAAGCCGTATGATCCACTCAACACCCATCCTATAGTATTTTTAACACTTATCATATGACTTTTCATATTACTATAACACTGTCAATGTAGGTTTCTATATTATTGATCCCACCGAATATGTGTGGATAGAACCGAGAAACATATTGCTTAACACAATTAGATCATACGAAACATATTCAATCTCCTGGGCTACAAAAAAGCTAATTACATCATAGAAAGAGAGACCTATCAAGACGAAGTGATTTCACTGTAACAGATGGCCCAATTAATGTAATATCTAGTCTAGTGCACAATGAGTGACATATATTCCAATAGCTCTTGCCTTTGTTAAGCTTAGAGGACATACCGGAAGTGCAGATTTTGCACCTGATATAAAAATTCACTAGTTAGGAAATTCCACTCTAAGGTGAAAAGATTTATAACTGAAAGAAAACTCACATCTGTCATGTTAGATAAGCCGAGGGATACCGCGGTAGCCTGTTGGTCTTCAGAGCCATTTTGGTTGAGGTCACGCTAGGTGTCTTTTAGTAATACCGGATATAAACAAAGGTCCGATATTCAACTTACTCTTTTGTTCTCTCGGGCGTTGACCATATACATAACGATGACTATAGCCCTCTGTACCACAAAGCATACAATCATAGACGCAAATCCAGATTGATGCCGAGGCGCTTCCCTCGCAAAGAAAAGCTAGGGCCCAATGAGATTGCCGACGCAATAACTGTTCCCAAACTTAGTATATAGTCATAATTCACGAAAAATAGCTACCACTTACCTGATAAAGAATGAGGATGCAAACATGGTCTTTTTGGTTCGACCGGCGACATTATATTGCATTTGCAGTAGAGTCAAAGACAAGACAAAATTGACACCGAAACCAACAAGGAGATAATCGGTGTGATCGATTAGCAAATTTTGGAAATATGGGTGCTAAAGAGAGAAAAGTAATCACATTAAGCGACCAGCCCGATTAGACTCGGGGAGGGCGAAGATTAAAACTCCCCCAAGAAGGGCGACTAAAAGTCCGCCAATCATTAGGAAATGCCGGATGCCCTTGAGGCGGGTGGCCAAGTAACTGAAGAAAATAAGGTTAGAAGACGCAATAATTCTGACCGCATCCTCGCAACATACCCTGAAATCCATAATGCCAGGACTTGTGAAGCGCCAGATGGCATACCAAGCAAAGTAGACTCGAATTTAGTGAATCCAAATCCATTGACTATAAGCGGGGCAAATGCAGACACAGCTCCCTGAGAAGAATTAGCTTGGCTCAGGGGGTTGAGACAAAATAGGAGCCGCACGTTGGAATGGTGTTTGCCAGACAATGCAAGTTGATCAACCAGAATCGAGGGTCAAGCAGGGCCTCTTTCACTTGTTCCATCTTGAATGTTTTGTTATCAATGCCCGTCTTGTTCTCAAGAACGCGCAAGATCCTTTCCCTCCCTGAACGCCATTTGGCCTTTGTCGGATTCGATCGAGCCACAAGTATGATGATAATACCCCAAACAAAGGTTATCGAGCCGAAGTTTATGAATGGGAATTTCCACGCTGGAAGAGCACCATGTAAATGACCGATTTCATAGGCTATTAAACCACCGAGAATGTTTGCAAAGCCGTTCATGGAAAACCAAATGGAGGTTCGTAGAGGTTGTTCCGATCTACAACCCATGTGAGCCACAGAAAAGAAAAATTTGATGGTCTGAAGTAGCCAACCTTGTGTAAAACATTGTTGTCAATAAAACAAAGCAAGGACTCACACCAGCTTCCAATATGCCAAGGAACAGACGCGCTGTAGCTAGACCGGCGAAGTTGTGACCGATAGTCGTGAGCCAGGAATACTGGTCATTAGCCAGATGAGCATCTTCTACCATGCCCCAGAGTGCGGAATATGAGACACAAGACTTATCCAGGAACTGCAAGATATATTTCAGCAATAATATTTCCTCAAATGACTCTTATAACATACCTGGATCATATAAGTAAACGCGAGTATGGGAAGTAGAAACATGTCAATTTTTCGAAGAACCCTTCGAGCTTCGCGACTATCAACTTCCACAGGGTCGATTATTCCATTGAGAAATGCCGCTCCAACATCGAGGTCCTAGGTTTGTCTCATCTCGCATAAGCCATCAGCCATAGGATCCAAGTCTGGCTGGTTACTTGGAGGACATAGTTGAGTCATTATGGGCGGTACGAGACGGAGAGATCGAGACCAAGACACAATGAATTAGGAATCTCGGGGTGTGCCTGCCATCAATTGGCTGCACAACCCTAAATATTATTCCCATCGGAAAATGGTGCACCTTGGTATAGTTGCCAAAATTCCAATAGCCTTATCTATGTGGTAAATCAGTCTTTTGCCGCCGTTGCGGTCATGATGGTTCTACTCGTGGGCAAAGAAGACAGTTGAAACGTTGATTAGGTTCCTTTCTAGTTCGATGGTTGTTCGGCGAAATCTTGAAGATATGCTCGACGCCTGTAGCAGGGAATCCACGGCACCGGATTCAAATGCACCATAAATGAGCTACGTTTTATGTGTTGACTTTACTCGCGTGGATGGTTTGGTAAAGACAGAGATACGGAAAAGTAGAAAGGAAGGTGCCCCTAGCTCTCCAGGCGTGACAGTATCAAGGTGATCAAGAAGAGATCGATTGTTGTGATAACCGTAGTGGTTTGTCCTCAAGCTTTTACAATGAATCAGACAATATCAGTTGCATATTCAAGGAATTCTATCTTCTATCTTATAAAATAACTAGGGTATCATTTTAAGCATATAGACCGGATACTGCGAGACCTCCCCTTTTCTGTCTTAGTGCTCACCCTTTGCCGCCTCTTGATCTCAGAGTGAAATTGAGCTCAATTTGATTCTACCTACCAAAATCCACTTATACTTGCATAAGCTCTGTCGTTTCTTTGTATACGACTGGGAGAAGCTGAGTGGTTTTCGGTCCAGGAATCTGCGGCTACCAATTGGTGGAAATCGGTGCCTAAGAGAGCGCTCTATCCCATTCAAGTAGAGGTTGTGTACTTCAAGGTCCCAGGATACCAACCTCTCCGCGATCTACAGTTCCGGGAAATATACAACCCAGCCCCTAAGCAACAGCACATTGAGATACTATGTCTACTGTACATATATAATCAAGACTCCTAAATTAGAGTTAATACTAGGCAGAATCCCCATCCACTTAGCTACTCAGAAATCCTACGCCTCAAAAAGATGCAACCCCTCAAGCCATCTCCCATTACCCTGCTCTCCAACCGGCCCCGAGCACTCTCTTACAAAGGCGTAATTATCTCCTGCAACACGCTCATTTCCTATAAGAACAGCCGGGTCCTCAGGACGCCGATAGGAATAGAACACCTTAAGGTCAAGCGAGTAAATATATGCAACTTCCACGAAGAATGACCGCACCCTCGTCTCAGAAGTCACAACCGGCCAAGCATACTGACTTATAGCATCCTTGACTGCCACAAGTCCCTGCTCACTACATAGTATTTCCCGCGTGTTCGGTATCGCCATCGCGATCTCATCGAAGCCCATCCTAGTGTCAATGGATAGAAAGCGGAGATTTGATATACCGGCGACGCATGATATAATCTGGCTCCAGTCCTCCTTCGCTGTTCTCTTAGCACAGTCCCAGAGTGAGACGGTAAGTTTACTGAGGTATGGCAGTATATCTGCAGGGACGACCTCTGCTAAGAATATTGCTGCTGCGCATATGTCCGGCGCAGATTCGGCTCCGGTTGAGTATGAGAAGGACTTGTAGTGGGGTATCTCGAATTCGTTTTGAGAGAAGAACACTCGCTGTGTTTCTTCACGGATAGTTCGAGATGTGCTGAATAGCGCGACGGGGGGTTTCCAGCAATGGCATGCGGGGGAATATGCTGATGACTTTGCACCGCAGCAGTTTAGGCCCAGGTCTGTACCGTTTGCAGGTCGAGCGTTGCAGGTGTTGAATTGGCAGGCGTAGTGAGTGCATGTCCAGCAGTAAGGCATTCCGCCGTGCCAGGATGATAAGCCATGGCGACAGTGGCAGGTGGGGGCATTAGGGGACCCGCAGTTCCTGTGCATGCTTGGATGGCAAGTCTCATAAGGTGGACTACAGTCGGGTTTGCACAATGATGCTTCAAGTGTATAGCCCTGGTCTGGGTCCCATTGGAGCTTGTTGAGCGGACTGATGAGATCGGTGTACCTGTAAACAAGTAGACGAATTTCAATGGGGAGGTCAAGGAACCGAAATGGTTGCACAGGGGTATTTATCTGGCCCATGGCCTTTTTAGCGGCTTTCATAGCTATCATCTGGATAGCATAGGTGCGACGATTGAGGGGGCCGAGCCGGATGTGGCAGTTAGATAAGATAGGGAAGTGGTGTAGAGGGTCTACAACCCTTCTTGCGGCATCCTCATTGTAAACATGACAGAAAATACTCAAGTCAAGTCGATCACCTGCCACATGCGGTGCAATCTTGCTGATGATCGAGTTCCACTCCCAGAGGATGGAGTGGTTCCAAGGGTTCACCAGGTCGAGGATTTTATTGTCATCAACAAACTCCAGAGGCATGCAGTTGCATTTTTTGAGGGGATTCGCGTACTTCGTAAGGCAGGGGATGAGTTTGAGAGAGGTCAGCGTGGCCAGATATGACGGGCCTAGCCGGCCCAACGTTTGTAGGTCGTGGGCGATGAACGTATTGGTAGAATAGAAGCTATGCGACACCTCATCATGAGTAGTCCGGCATATGAGTATAAGGGCTGAATAGATGGTTAAGTCCACTAGATGTAGATTGAGTGTGCGGTCAGAGTCTTCCCAAATGGGGGCCGGTTGCTCCTCAACACGATGTCTGCGATCGAGGGGGATGACCTGGTTATCAGCCAGCCCTGCAAAACTGTAGATGCGAAATCTAATAGAAAGTGGCAGATTGAGAAGGCTGTTGCCGGATTGTTTGGTCATGATGTTGTTTGCAACAATTAGTTATGGTAAAACTGAGGCAGGTTGGAGGTCCAAGCAAGGGTAGCGCTGACCGGTGATATTGCTGCCTAACTTCCTTTAGCGATTATATTAGGCTGTAAACAAGTCAATCTAACCTATAGGTCTGCTCTATCAAAGGCATGGTCTGCGGTAGTCTGAGTAATCAGAGATTATTCAATGAGTATCTACATAGAATCGACGATCATAGGCGTGACTAGTCTGAACTTCTCATTCAATCCTGGGTCCACTTAGGCCGCTACTCCTAAGGACAAACAGAACATCTGTTTGTCTCTGTAGCGGCATATATATTAGGCCCTAACATCCGTTAGGGTTAGGGACCACACTCACTAGCTCTGAGCTCGTGCTGGTATTTACTCTCAGAGCCTAACTCTGAGCGCCCTCATTAAAGCGGCGACAGCCCAAATAGGAAAACCCCGGTACACATAGTTACATGTATAACGAAGACGTGAGATCCATGTCACCCATGACCACTTCTAGTCTATAATACAGCGAAGTCAACGGCTACTCAATCAGGGTAATAGATAGGATGGGGTAAAGACAATCTTACCTGTCTAAGAGCCATTCTCCTCTCCGAAACTCGTCTCTTCCACCCTTTCATACCGATAGTTATGAAAATAACACCATTCCAAAACCCACGCAGGGACCCCAACGTACTCACAGAGAGCAGCAGTGAATAGGTCCCATGCTTATGATGAATGAATTCCGATATACGGTTGATAGTAGGTGCAATCCATGTTGCTAACATAGCAAGGAAGAACAGCGATGGCATGATCACGTATTGTCTCAGCGACACACGTCTCTGTTTCGGAGTTTGATAAGTTGTCGTTGATTTTCTGGATGGAGGTGGATGTTGGGACATATTTTGTTCCGTGTCATCGGTTGTTGTACTAGATTCAGGGGTGAAAGTATGTTTTCTCTGGGAATTCGCTTCCTCAGTTGTTGTGACACTGGTGGTTGAATTACCAGAGGTCAGGGCGATATGATCGTCAGTGCTCAATTTGAACTCGTCGCGGACTCTGGTTATCTCGATTCCGATGAGACAATATAGTATTAGGACGATGACTATTATCAGCCTGTTGCGTGGCTATTAGAACATGTAGTTGAGTAGGTCAATAGCAGTGTACGCACCATACGGGTGCATAATAGAAGATTATGCGCAGGAGCATCCAATTGCGAGATACTGAGCACCAGATCTATGAAATTTCAATTAGCTTCAAGAAAGTTTGAGTTTCAAGTCGACTAAGAATACTCACAGTCTCGTCACCATATATAGGACCTTTATGGTCACGGATGAAGAGGAAGACAAAGGCAGGGATAAACGAGAGAATGGTAATAATACCAATGTATTTGATTTCGAGCTTGCGCAAAGATTGGGTATCAAAATGATAGAAGACAACCAAGTATGTATCCAAGGCCATTGCGAATGTCCAGAGCACGTCAGCTACTGGAAACCTATTTTTTTTTTGTCAGCATTTTCTTGCAGACAACATTCGACATATCCCTGCCAATGCCAAGAACATACATTTGAAGAGCAAAGCCTTGGAATTGACATAGCGATGAAGTATTTCCAGCTGCAGGTCCACTAGTAGATATCATCGTAGCGACAGAGTCGAACAGGTTATAGAAGGAATTGAAAAATATTATACGGTGAATGGGACTCCGAAAGTGCCGCGAAAGAGCAAAGGCGCCGACTATTGTGAATGAACCTAGAATCGAGAGAACTGAAGAGACTCGCCCTGCAATGGCGATCCCCTTGAGCTCCTGAGGAGAATGCGACATAGTGGTCTCAACATAACGAGAGAGATAGTTTCAAGAATTGACAGCTAGCACTCCTATTTGAATAAATTACGATTGAGATAGAGTTTGCAATATCACGTTGCGCCGATGAGTATTCTTCGGCCCGAATGACGTGCTTTTACATATTGAAGATGAGACTTGCAACGAATGATCAATTGCATTTAATATCAAAGGGGTTAATAATCACATTTACAAAGGCTAGTTATATAGCAAAATTGCGCTATTTCAAGAACTTTTAGTCCTAAATAGCCTCATCGCTCTTAATAATGGCGATGGAACTTCACGGCTAGAACAACATGATGGCTCAGACCATGCATTTTCAACCAATCATGATCGAGTTTACAGGGATCGAACAATTTGTGCGCCATATAAACAAATCAATGGCGAGCTGGTGTACCTGAATTTCAACAAACGCTCTTACCGCGAGTCTGGCTTTGCCTACACCTTACATGCGGAGTAGTTCGCAGTAGTTCGCTAGTTCGCACAATTCGAGGCATAGAGCCCTAAGCATGTACTCAGATCATCAAATTTATTCGAGCTGATATTGGGGCTGTGTCAGTCTACTGGATATCGCACATATATTGAACTATAACTCTATGAGAGAATTGTGTCGGCTGATGCCGAAACGTGTGACTGCTTCCACTTTTCGTCCGATCGATCGGAAATCTCTCGATGTTTGGACCCACTGGGTACGCAGGGGCCGAACCCGTCATTTTTAGTAGATACTGACAGAAAGCTGGTGTGCGAACAATGTATTGACCAACGTTGACAACTCTAACTAAAATGACAAAACCCGCTATTTCAACGATCTACCTAGGTAACCATGCGGACCTCGATGACTAACTATAATATACACTTTTGTATCCATGGATGGTATGTCTGGTACCTAATGTCACATGATGTTCCGGGTATAATACCTGGCTACCATATATTCGGACTCAGTAGTCGACATACCCCCTAGTTCTTAAAGCCTACATTTGCCTAGCTTTAACAGCTATTACTTCCTTCAATTTCATCATTTTCAAGCCTTCTAACAGCCTCAATTCCTTCATTTCTACACTCTCTTCAAACAGCCTCTGTTTCTCGGATCAGATAACTAATCTCTCTTATTCTAATTATCTCTCTAAAGAGGTACTATATTTGCGGTCGCAAATCGGCATTTCGCTCCCTCACTTGCTGCGGAGTGCTCTTTTTAGACCGTTGAGACCTCTCATTGGTCACATGATGTGTCCCTAAATTTAGTTCCTACCTTTCCTCCAATACAACTATCATCAACCACAATATATTACATTGTGCTGCTTCATGATCGCATTTACTCTGTAGACTCTAACATAGGCTAATCTTTGGCAACAAGGGCTCGTCTGATGCTGGAGGTTGTGACTAGGGTGCGGAATTCATCCTAGAGGAAAACAGCCATCTCATCGAGGTATAAACCGGGCTTTCAGACAGGTATTCGCAGAGGGCTTCAATTATTAGTGGTGTTACAACCCGTTTCCGTCCTATTCGAGTTGGGGGTGCGTGCACACTTCCAAATTCCCGCAAGTATGCGCGAGTGTTTATAATCGTAGACTGGCTGCATTCTTCTTCGGCCATTTTAGATGTACCAAGTGACTGGCTCTCTATCATGTAGCGGATGAGATGCAGCTTGGATGGTGGAAGTCTCGGAGTCATACATTTACGAGTAAAATACACTAGGCAGGGTCCCAGCTGCGTCATGTGCCCTGAAGCGAACGAAGTGAGAAAAGGGTATTAATCAACACGGAGGTGCGTGCGTGCGAGACGTTGCAAAAAGAGGTGGCTTAACTATATATGGACTGTTCTGCCACGCACGCCTCCCATTCGCCTTCGCGACCCCGGGTACCTACCTGCCTTACGTTCGCTTTTTTGGGATTAGATCATCTTGGCTTAGGGTTGTAGGGCTATTTAGCCGTATTTATGCAGTTTGTCCTACTTTCATTGCTTCATCATCTGCTTGTCACCCTACATTTATTGCAGCGCAATGCAGTATATTGCCACTATAATTTCCTCTTAGTGCGCTCGTTCTTTCATTCCCCCTCCCCTCACTTTTATCTCAGTGCCCACGGAATGTTATCTAATCGACTTTGCTCTGGCTGTGGGCGTTAAATATGTCTAGCTACGGCTATTCAATCACCAAGATGTCCCGCTTGTCGATTTTCCCAGCTACCCCCTATACCGGAAACGCGCCCCTGCTCGCGCTGTCATGTACCAATGCCCGCGGACTCTCCAAGTACTCGCTGCACGCGTTGTGAAGCCATACGCTCTCCGAATCCTGATTTGACTCCATGCTATAACTGTCGAGTCCCCTTTCCTGCTCGACCGAGGGTCAGACGCTGTCTAGACTGTAGATTGAGGAGATCAAATGTGGTGCAGCGTGCATCCGCTTTTCGCCACACTATTGATATTTGGTTTGATCCTATACTAAATTCATTTCAACAAATAGGTGCACCCATACAGCCCCCTCAATTTAAGCGTCGAAGATCTTTACCTCTAGCTCCACTATTAGAAAGACAGCCTTCGGTTTTCGACCGGGCCATTGCTTTCCTGATTCAGGAACATGAATCTCGCATGTCTGCCTCGGGTTTATTCCCACCAGGCATATCTACCTCTCTGATACGTCAGTCTGTAGCTCGATTTGAGAAGGAAATGACTATTGCTAGCCGAGACATTGCTTATTGCTCCTGTGGCATATTGATTCCTCATACCGATGCCCATTAGGTGCTCGATGAGGATCCTATACTACGGCCATTAGAAAGGGTTCCTCAATTTCTGCATCCATATTGATAATTTCTGGAATCTGTGCTCAGGGTGCCATACGGCACTTCTACGCGGTTCTACTCCGAAGTTCTCAGACGTGAACAAAATCACCGTGACTCTGTGCCAACACTACCCTGAAGCTCTTTAAGATCTCACTCTTACTGAAGAATATCTGATCGCCAAATACTACCCTATTGGAGTAGTATTGAAGCTGCGCCCTTGTGGTCGATCGTCACCGGCAAACTACATGCGTTGCGCGGCCACTTTATCATTATGCCTCAGGATCCAAACCCATTTTTTTAAAATCCTACCAAGCCTAGAGCTCCAATTTACAGAATTAACCCACATACCACCCATAACTTGTCTAGAACTGATATTGGAAAATCTTACTTCATAATGACGCAGATATTATGGCCAGTTACTGTAAGCAGTCTGGTCACAGTAATTTACCTGGCTGTTTTCAGAACTGATATTGCAAAGCTTACTTCATAATGACATGGATATTATGGCCTACCTAATAGTATAATAATGATATACGGGGTAGTATATAACCAAAGCCATATTTACGCTAAGCATGGAGCCGAATCTCGATTCTCTTTTGATTTTCAACCAACAGCAATGGACTCATTTTAATCCCTGACTCAAAATACACAGGTTATGTCTGAACACATTCCGAGCTTAATGTCTCAAGGCAGGTTGATGAATACCGGGCCTTCAATGTATGACACAGCCCTTGAAGCTACTACGAATTATTAACTCTTGAACATAGCCAACCAGGCGCCGGAGATTTACCTGCACCATGCTGGAATGTTACCAATCCCCAGGTGTTTAATATCACTGCATGTGATTCTGGCTCTGCAGCAAATGGCCTCCATCTTACAGAATACTCTGCCGGCCCATCCTTCGTTCCTGTGGGTTTTGGTACCCCCGGACAATTGGATGGTGTGAACGAGTTCTTCTTAGAGCCAACCATGGGGTTACTCTGCGGCTATCCTACTCTCGGTGCTCCTATGCTACAATTTTGTGTGGTGGGAGAGAGTGATATATGTTCGGACTTTTACGGTAATGGGTTACCTTATGTCCAAGATACTGTTTACGTATATAACCCCTTCCCTACATTGTTGCATTGTTCAGTAGACAATAATCAGCTATTGTCATGCAATGCCACGGTTAATGGGATAACATATGACTACCTCCAACTTGGTCCCGGAATGGACGGGGGACAGGGTTTATGGTTTCCATTGACTCTTAATGATTCAGCCTCTGGATCACAATATTTTACTACTGGAAGTTGCAATTGAATGCTTACTAAGTTCAAAATATATATCTCATGTTGCGCCTATGTTGCTCTTCTGCTCATCATCTTATTGAAAACATTTTGTCAAGATATGCGGCTTATTCAGCCCGCGTTGGTTCGCTTAACTAACGTATTTCGACAGAAAGCTGGTGTACGAACAATGATCCAGTACTAACACCCACCAAGTCCTAGCAGTTACTGTTTATTTAACTAGCATTGGCTTTTTGATGGCCGTCAGAATTATAAGGTTTTCTTCCTATAGCATTGGCTCTTTGACGGCCGTCAGAATATATCGTAATGAGGTTCAATTCGCTATCCTGTTAATCGCTAATAATACTTGTATATATCCTCGTCACGTCTGATACATCTCCGAACTCTTACAGAATTAAGTATCTGAGTGCTTTCCTCTTTATTAGAAGGAAGAGGAGGGTCAGTATCATGATTGATCATAACCTGTATATCCTCTCCACCTTGTACCTCGTGGAGGAGATTAACCATAATATTTAGTAGAATATCGAAATTTGCCTTGATTTAGCTAGCATATTATAATAGACTATACCGGAAAACAATTGGCTTTTCACTCTTTCACAATTGGGCTTAAGCTAATAAATACATATCGAAAGGAAGGGCCCTGATCACATCCGGCTAGCAATAGGAAGAACAGCGAGATACACACAAACTAAGCCAAAAACGCAAATACCTCGTTCACCACACGATCAAGATTAAACACGTCCGGGTATATCAGCCAGTTATAAGCCAATACATCAATCAACCAGTCCTGGGCATCTTCGAAGAAGACACCAACATGGCCTTTATCCGGGGGGTTTACCAAGCATATCAAATGACGATTATCATCATACATAAGACTCTTAGCCAGGGGCAACACAATATCGTCTGCGTGATCCGATAGTGCTTGAGTGGCTAGTTCTATGTCGACCACCTCTATGATTAGTCTCTGACTAATGAGATTTTCCAGCAACTGGTCAACTCTTTGCATCTGAGCTGCTTGCCAGGAAATAGTAGCAATTGTTTGGTCTTTGAGATCTGGGGGTCCACAGCCTTCGAGAACAAGCTGACAGGCAGTTGCAAGGGTGGAATAGTTGATCGCACTCTTTAGGCGGCCGAGGTCTTTCATGTAGTTCTCTATGACGACATCTCTCATGTCGGTAGCGGTGCCATCTTTTGTCGGGCTATCTCCTACCAATGCCTGCGTCGGTTCTCGTTCCAAGCCTACCCAGTGACGAAGTCTTCTCCAAACAGACCGGGCAGATGCCCGCGATTGGAGGAAATCCTCATGGCGCTTCTGAGAAAAAGGCACATCCCTGATCGCAGTCTCAATCTTTGGTGATAGGATAAAGTGGGAGATATTGTGGGATAGAAGAGCGCGGGTGGAGGGGATCGTAAGCGGTGTAGAGGTTTCCTGGTTTGGTCTAATATAGAGCATCTCGTCGACTATTCGATTGCGATATAGAGAGATCCTACTCTCGGGGTAAGTGGTAATCTCCTCTATAAATGCCGCCCCGAATAAAGAACACCGGTCTCGGCCGGAGCCCGAGACATACGCCCAGGATTTCTCGCCGATAGTAGCTGCTGTCTCTATAAGCACATCGCGCTGGGAACCTTGCTGGGTACCTATATCGTGGGCTATTGTAGTCCACGTGCCGGAGTAACAAGCCCCGTTGACAACCAGGAGGCGGACCTTAGGCGGGAGGACAGAGAGGGCAGCAACCATCTCAGCTTTGGATAGATATTGAGTTGGTCCACGCTGACAGTGTAGGGTGACAGCACTCTCCTGATGGCTTCCATGGCCAATAAGGACGATGATGATACGATCTCCAGGGCGTACATTGCCGGAGACATCTCTAATCCAGCACATAATGTGTGATTTGATACCATGGGCCTCTAGTTGGTAAAATGGCCTCGTGGCCTCGTCGCTATCGTAGACTTGGATTCTCTCCCTCAAGTCATCTCGACCAAATATGAACGGCCCGCTCGTGCTCGTTATATCGAAAAGATTCGTTCCCGAGAGGCATGTTGGATGAAGGCCGTCGGCTATGAATTTCTTTGCGATCATCACAAAGTCCGTGGCTAGAGCCGGGTCTAACACTCGGCCCCCAAAAGCAACCAACGCGAAGGTGTGAAATGATGTAGGATGAGACATTTTTTCATTGGTGACCAGTTGGTTCCTGCGGATTAGAACACTTTGTCGAGCTCGGCAATTGGCGTTCAATGACATCGATATAGGTTCTATGATATAGTTGTGATGTCACAACTTATGGGCTTACTATGTCTTTAATGAATGAACGATTTACTAGCCTTAGGGAGCCACAAAGAACATCTGTAGGTTTGTCTATAGCACTGTCGAATGAAAATTGACAGACCGGAATCTGTCACACACCCCCTGTGGGCGAAACCTCCTGCAGATCTTCTGATACGATACCAGAGGCGAGGAACTCTCTGTGGGAAGCCATAGGAGGACTGATCTCCCCTGGAAGAGATGAAAATAAGGTTCGCTCCGATGGAGAAGATCTCAACAAGACAACGGCATTATCGGCGTCGGCAAGGTACTTCCAATCATATATCGCTAAGATAACAGCGGTTCCGTTCCGACACAAGATACCCTGCGATCCAAAGATACGGGTGAAGACCTGAGCAGAGGTAGAGGCATCAAGCGCACTAAGAGAATCATCGAAGAGGGCTAGCTTTGTTCGACCATAAACCGCACGTGCAATGGCCATCCGCTGCCGTTACCCACCGCTCAGTGAAAGGCCATTACTGCCAATAACTGTGTGCTCTTTTTTAGGGGGGGGGGATCAATATCATAACCCAGAGCAGTCACCCTCTCCTCTACCTAGCTGGAGATCAATGAGTTCATCCGACCCAGAAATGTTAGTTAGAAGAAAAGACCTCCCGATTTGAAAGATTCAGTGCTTTTGAGAACGCTTGGCCGAGTACGGTTATGGCGGCTACTCTAAAGGCTTTGATTGGTTTTACACATGCAGGGGGGCTGCATTGACTAACACGAACATAATATGATGTGGAGCACATAGGGGAGGCAAAAGCCATGGCATGAGCTGATTGCAAGGGGGACCTATGAAAAGCCATTAGTATAACTCACACCTTGTGTATGGAGTGTCATCCCGCAACGCTGATAAGCTAAATAAAGTAACTTTCCACGAGCACCAGTTTCTTAAACTGACACCTGCTTTGTTCCCTTCGGTCCTCGCCTCTTAATGGGTGCCAACTCAGACATATCGCTGGTAGGCCCAAAAGGAACGGGGGTCTGCGTATTCATGACTCAGTACTTGTAGAATGGGGTCCAAAAAGTGTTACAGGCTGAATAATAGCAGTGCGGTACAAGCCGCCTCAAAACCAGACACTGCCTTGTACGCAAAAAAAAAGAAAAGAAAAAAGAAAATCTACACCCAATTGTATCCGCTGAAGATACTGTATGCTTCTGAATTGCTTGAGCTAAGTGGACCCTTGGTTTGCTTTTCTCACCCTTTTTCCTTTTCCTATTTTGATCCCCGATATGGCAGGGGATCTACGATAAAAGGGTACCGCAGCTAGGTGAAATGGATGAAATGGATGTATCACGCTAAATTATGCAGCTAGAGATGATCTGAGCCTCCACCGCGGGATATAGACGTATTAATATGAGACCCTAATTCTTAGGACGAGTTTGATCGACGATCCAATTCTATCCTTATTTGCTCAAGCTACGCAACTACAACAATACCTCCCATCCTGGAGTAAAGGGTATTCTACGATTTCATCGACTACCCGGTCTAGTGAGGAAAGCAAAAAAAATCCATCAAACAGTCTGTATGGACTGCCACTAAGGATTCATTTGTTTTGGAGCTTCTCGCGGTAGTAGCATCCGCTGGGCTTCTCATTGCAATGGTCGTCATCCTCAAAAAATACGATTGAAAGCCTCAGCCTAATTGGAGACACCCATCATTAAACTCATTGATCTCTTGGCTGAGCACTCTTTCCAAAGCCTGTGTCCTGTTCTCGATTAGTGAGACTCTTGGCCAGCTAAAGTAGATATGGTTGTCCCAAAACATGCGGCCATTATCAGATCTTCCCACTTTTGATTCTGCTAGCCGTGGGTTTTATGGGAGCTTCCGGCTAATTTGGATGCTACATGCTAGGTGGGCCAAAACGCAAGTTCTCCGTTATGGATCATAAACTAAGCTGATGTAGACACTTTGCCATCTGCGGTGGACTAGCGACAATTCCGGCATTGGCATTCGATTCCTCCTCTCAGAACCAGATCAATCACTATCCTGAAATGGTACCAGACTCTGGGAAATGTCCCAGAATACGACGCTTTGGGTGGAGAATTACTTTGGTCACGTAAATAGCCAATGATACTATACCCGATCGTGCCATTCGATCACTTTTGGTGGAGTCAGCATACCAAACTGCACTGTCGGTCTTCCGGGCAACCAAACTTCAGCATGGTTTGTTGCAGATGCGCCGTATTATCAGCCAATGGCAATTACAACACTCACCTTGAGCACCTTGGCATCAGTATATAAAAATGGCACATATGTGATACAATACATCGCATCGAAAGTTATGTCCACATTGGGATTATACGGACTCATAGCCGAGTCAGATCCGTGAACCGCAGCGGAATGTTCAATTGATCCTGTTGTGCGCAGTTTCAAGCCGAGAGTTCACAACAGCTTATATAGCGAGGAAACGCTTTCTGTTTGGAAAGATAAACTGCTGGCTGCACAAACAAACATTCCTGGTATTTCCCTACGTCCACCGTGGGGGAGGACATGGGAATTCAACAAAACCAAACATTTTTGGTGGATCCCAATTCCTCAAGTGCTATCCAGTCATTCCTTTGAGCTATCTTCACTGGAAGAGAGCAATACTACTCTTCTGGTGTCAGTAGCATGACATTCCCTCTTTCTTCCGAGGCTTCTCGTTTGGATCGCTACAGCTCTACGCAGGCTCTGATACTATCCATGCTATCAGGAAAGGCAACATTACAGGGTGCAGTACTGGGCTGTCTGGTAGGCTGCCCTGTATTGTCAGAAACGTGGCCGGGGCAGTCTCAGGATCTTTTTGAGATTCCGCCTACATTGCTGCAGACTCGAACGTGACCAATGCAGACATGGCTGTTGGGCAGGCCATGACGAATATCATCTTCGTTTCCATTGGCTGGAGGTGGATTATATTACCCGCATGTGTATGGCTTCTTGGGGCTGCGACATTGATCGGGACCTTGTTGAAGACCCGGCGCTCAAATATGCCATCGTGGAGAAATGACCCACTACCCCTGTTGTTTATCTGTCCAAATGATGAAGATAAAGGTCATGGGCATACCGGAATACCCATTCTAGGCGATTCTGGAAAGGCGAAGGAGGTGAAATTGTATGAAAAGTGAACTATATGGTTCTTCAAGGTGTGTTCAAGGGACAAGCTTGGAAGATTGTCTTGTAGGGGACAGTCGAGGATATTATTACTTCTCTCTCCCTCTCTCTCTCTCTAGCCCTGCCATACTTAAATACATTGTTCTTAACTATATTACGACTCAATCTTTGGACGTACCTGCAACCTTATTTTAGACAAGTTATACCTTCAACTTCATCAATCCAGACGTATGAACCACCAGCATACTTTATATGTCTTTGGAACATTGCTGCAATGGCAAACGGGAGGTCTCAATAGTAAAGCCTCGATAAAGCAGGTACTTGAATATGTAGCAATTTCTACTTAATATGATGACTTCCTAGGCCGATGTTTCTATTGTAAATTAACCTAGAGTGCACCATGTACACGAATTCGGTGGGCTCTACTCCTGTGCTCGTCCTAGATATCTAGATATTTTATTTCATAGTAGGTTGATTTGTTGATTTTCTGTTCTCTATTCGGGACTTTTGTATGTCCCAATCAAAGGTTGTATTAATTAAGTGATTGGTCTGCTAGAGTATGTCCGATCTCCAGTCCACAACATTGAAATCATCACCGAATCAACTCAAAGGGCCACGCCCACCAGAAGCAGAGCCCCAGAGGCGAGCAATGCATTGAATCCCGGGGCCATTGAGCTAGCACCGTTGGAGGAGCCTGTACAAATTATAATCAGTATTTTTATTTTCCCCATAAATGATTGAACTAGAAAACATGCGAGAGAAACTTACTTTTCTTACACTGATCCTCGAGGCTCTCGAACCGATCCTGGAAGTCTCCGAGATGTGAAGCAGCGTCCGCCATTTCATTGGTGTCGCAGCCATCTTGGATACATGAGCTCAAGTCGGAGGCATTGTCCCGGAAATCCGAAACTGAGCTCTTAACACCACAGAGACAGTCGACACTGGCTGAATCGGCGCTTCCGCACTTGTCCTTGAGACCGGCGGTGTTGTAGAAGTCGTTAAGACAAGTCTTGATGCACTGGGGCATGTCGCCCACGATGTCGTTCCAGGTTTTGAGATCGGCGACGGCGACAGAGGCCAGAGCCAAGATAGCAAGGGATGAGAAACGCATGATAAAAGATAGGGTATATATGAACCGGAATATTAAAGGAGTGGCTGTGGAGGCTGCGGTACGAAATATTGCACAGAGAGAGAATGGGAAAAAGAGAGTGGTTGCAGAACCTGATGTGGCCGCGGCGAAGAATAAGATTATATAGGGGCCCGACCTCGTTTCTATTTCCGATTGAAAGGGGCTTTTCTTTAGCTCAACCGAATAAAGTTGTTTCGCATCCTCCCCAGCTTACCTACAAGAGGAAGTGCCAAGGGCGATGATAGCCGGCAAGTTGTCGTGATCCAGTCAAACACGAGATTGGGGTAAAATATACGAGATATAGAGGACTTGGCGAAGGATCTTATAGTTTAATACGAGAAGTGCACAGATACCTATTAAGATGATCGTAGAGGCCCGTTAGTACACAAATAGGTTTGATCACCTTAGAACCTTTTTTAAGGGACGTAAAAAGCTCGTTCATTTGTGGTTGTTTCCCACGACCCTGTCGATCGCAATTTTCGACTCCACTGAATCTCGTACAGAGCCTCCGTTAATATGTTCCGGATACGAGCTTGTGGAGCTCCTTGTGAAAAATGGATGCGAGCCGCGGATGCCTCAGCTTCTATTATTGTGAAGTCTGGTAAAGGGTCTCCTTGGGCACTTGGAAGAGTGTGTTGGCATGTGCCAATGTCTCCAAAAAAAAAAACCAAAATGTCTAACTTTGCATAGAAGACACCACGATTCTCTCAGCCGCAAGAATCCATGCTAGCACGATCATATCCAATGAAATGCATCGAAAATTCTGCAAGGCAGAGATTGACCAACACAGGGGGACAAGCGACTGAGGTACTTTTAGTATCTTAGTTCATCCTTTGCACTTGTAGGAGTACCGCGAAAGCTCCCGATTTGTCTGACACCCGTCTCAGCTTGTAGGCGTTCAAACAGAAGATGATATCGGATCTCCGAGATGCTGCACGACTGCGGTGAACAGCGCGAGATCACTTCGAACGGCTTAGGAATCTGCGGTCTTGAAGTGACTTGGCAAACCCAGGTGAAGTGTAAAAGTCTTCGTTGATTGCCAGTCGCCGACGGCGGTATGATAATGAAAGACGGAACGACAGCGTCACAAACTAACGATAGAGTCGATTTAAGAATGAAATAAGCTTGAGTTACACGCGTCGAATGGTGATAAGTCAGGATCTCAATCTCACCATCAGGTGATCTAGCCCAGAAGTACGTGTACAGCTTATAAATCCAACGTCTTACAGGCTTACTTCACTCCATCCTCTAAGCTCCAGACGGAAACTATTTCTTGTTACCCCTCAAAATGGCTACCCCCACTATTTACCATTATCTCAGTATTGGCAGACTAGGCCGCGGAGAGGTCGTGAAGTAAGTCACTACTTACAACAAATTATAGTTAAACTAACCTTTTGCAGCCTATTTTTAAAGGATGCGGGGTTGGACTACAAAGAAGTCCTCTACCCTTACGACAACACCTGGGCAGAGACCAGCAAAAAGCTGCGTGAGAACGGACTTACCAGGACTGGTCAACTACCTACCCTTGAATATGGTGGCTCTGTGATCACTCAGGTACGCTGAATCTGATTTAAATTTCTCGAGTCATGTCTAATGGAAGAACAGCACATTCCAATTCTGCGTTATCTTTCGCGTGATCTCGGTGCTTACGACGGTAACACCAACTGGGAGAAATACCTGGTTGATGCGGTGGCGGATATCTACATTGACTGGAGGGTATGTGACCAACGAATACAAATCCCCTCTCTATCAGGTTAGGAGACCTTATTTACACAACATACAGTCTCAATGGGTAGCCAACTTGAGAGGAGCGACCGAGTCCTACAAGAAGGAGTATGTACCCAACTACTATGATGTCGTCGCTCAGTATTACTCCGATGTCGAGGGACCTTACCTCCTTGGTGATAAGATCACCTATGCCGACTTTGCTGTTTATCAGTCTATTGACAACGATACAAGAACGGGTACCATTCCAGTGAGTGCTATTTGTACCCCATTTCAAGTATAGGTTGTGCTCACCACATCGCTAGGATACTCTTCCTCCAACTCTTGCTAAATTTGTGGAGGCCTTTGAAGCGCGGCCAAATATTTCTGCGTACATTGAGCAGACCCGGCACGCGAAAGCATAGATTGTGCTTTATTCTCTCTCACAATAGTCAAAGAAGCATTCACGATTCCAAACTGCTGTGTAATACGTCTGAAGGTCTCTGAAACTTTCCAAGGCTATTCTAGATTTACTGGGGTGTTGGTTGTCCCCGACTTTTAACGGCGATGGCGAGGAAGAAACGACCTGTAGGATAAGGCGGGCAACATCTGACAACGCATATACACAAGCCCAAGAGAGATCAAAATATTTAACACGATTATGGATTATTACTACACTACACAGGCAAACAAACAAAACACATCAAATTCCTTGGTCCCGACCAATGGCATTAGACAATGAGCCGGTGCCATAGGAGACCAATGTGGTCGCAACATGAGGAAAGGAAATGAAAGGAAACGATATACACAGCGCTGGACAAACGGAGGGAAATATGGATGCAACGGACGTCACTGGTAGATTGAGGATCAAGTCCAGGGCTTCCATCAGGGAATGAGAGACATAGGTGCAAAGGCAAAATAGTATGTAGGAGATATGTGCAGTGAGAAAGAGAGGGTGTCATAATCAAGTCTTCGAAGTCAAGTGGTCCGCAGCCTAGTATTTAGTTAGTATGATGCAAAAGCAAAACCGAACGCGAAAGAAAACCTACCTTGTCAAGGTTGTAGTCATACTTCTCCAAGGCATCGAGAGACTCATCCCGAGTGAAGCCCATGCCGGTCAGTCGCTGAAGGATCAGGTCATCTTCACCAGTGTCGTTGTTCAGAGCCCATCCGGGCTGCTTGGATTTCGCTCCGTTCGAGTCTTCACCTGTGTCGGGCTTGGGGTTATCAAGAGGCGCAAAGAGCGCATCCCATTCATGCGCAGCCGGTTTGGATTCTCCCTCGCTGGGCGATCCGACGGGCGGAGCGGCGGATGCATGGACGTTGTTGTCGAAAGCGAAGAACTGAGAGGAGCTGGATTGGTCAACATTGGCACCGGAGACAGCCTGCTGCTTCTGGGACGGCGAGTCGAAAGAGAAATCAAAGTCGGTTGTGTTCTTGGCTTCATGACTCTGTGGCTCGTCGTCGTCATCGTCATCGTCATCGGCTTCGGTTGCCGGCGCAAGGTTCATTCCCGCGAAGGCTGCCTCAAAGTCCGGTCCTCCCACCTTCGCTCCACCGGCCGGGATGGCAGCATCTGAGACAGAGTCTCGTTGGGTCTCGTTGTTTACGACTGGCGCACCAGTGATGTGGTCCACTGAATGAGGTGCATCCGGTGCAACGGTGGGATCGGCGCGCTCAGGCAACAGGCCACCAAATTGAGGAGGAAGATCAACTTTGTCTTCTTTGGGACCTTCATACCCTGGAGGGCTCGGTAGTGCCCCAGGAGACGGGGCTTTGGCTGAGTGTCCCGGGACAGGGAAAGCAGCCAGTTGAGCAGCATCAATGGAATCTTGCTGTGTCTCCTTTTTGGCAACTGGTACCGGAGGCGTAAAATTGTCATCGAATCCAAAAGCATCCTCGTCATCAGAGCTCTCATCTTCGTCATCGTCGTGGTGTAGCTCTTGAATCGGGGGGAATTCGGATGGACGGGCTGCTGCAGCTCCATTTGTCTGCTCAGCTCCAGGCACATGCTTCATAGAAGCAAACGCCTCCTCGAAGTCGTTACCTTGCTGGGATTCCGACCGTTTGTGTGCCTTGCTGCCAAACAGTTCATCGAAGCTTAGGTCCTTGCTACCTTCGACCTGGCTCTCATTGGCGACAGGGGATGTTGCAGATTCGGGCAGCTGAGCAGCTGCGGCTGGGACCTCAGGGAACCTAGCTGAGGTGTTTGGTCCTTCCTCCTCAAACGGAGACCGTACCGGGGTACCTCCAAAAGCCGAGGTTGGTGCACGACTGTGGTCGCTAGATTCTGCCACTGATTTAGGTCCATAGTCACTGGTACCCCCCTGAGAAAGCGTATCAAATCCAGGGGGTTCAGGGCCGCCAAATCGACTGGCGGGAGGTGAGACCATAGTAGACGAAGTCACAGACTGATTATCGTTGAACTGCAGGAAGTTTGGGGTCAGTTGGCGGGACTGGGTGGCAGGCGGTGGCTCAGAGAAGGGCCCGGCAGGGAATGCGCCAGGCAAAGAGCCAGGGGGAGGAGAGACCGATGGAGTCGGAACAGCAGAGGTAACAGGAGATGTGACCGCGACATGTGGCGACTCGGAGCGGAACGAAGTGGGTGGTGGCCCGGCAGCAGGGGCAGCTGCAAATGGCTGTCCGAAGAGACTATCAAATGCCCTGTGCTGATCATTCGAGACATCGGGGGACCGTGCCTGTTCACTTGAGCTACCTGTTCGACGGAAGAATGGGTTTGTGTTTTGGCTTGCCGTCGAGTCAGCAGGGCTTACAACCTCGGGCACACTGCCGGCCGGTGTCGCAGACTCGTCAGAATACTGTGGAGTCTCACTAGCCAGACCGTCAATTTCACCCTGGAGCTTGTCCCGTTCGCCTTCAACGGTAGCTAATTGCTTTTTGTTAATGGCAACAAGGCCCTTCTGTTGGCGCGCACTAGATCGCGCCTTCTCCAGTGCCGGCTTCAGCTGGGCAACTTCGGCATTGGCCTGGCGGATCTTCTCCTTCAGGCTGGCATTCTCCTGCTCGTCGGAAGCCAAGGCGGTCGAAACTTGCGTGTATTGGTTGTGCAGATCCTGGCGGCTGCCGTCCAGCAATGCATATTGCTGCTGCAGCTTCTGTGTCTCTGCCTTAGACGACTTGAGGCGCTCCTCAAGTGCCTTGAAGTTGGTAACCTCTTGCTCGTACATGGACCGTGCTTGTGCCAGTCGTGCCTCAAAGTCACGCTTCTGCTGCGAAGTTTGTGTAATGTTTTGTTCAGCAGAGGTCCTCTTCTCCTGCACAGTGTGCATTTCCTTGGCCAAAGAACCGATTTGGTTGGACAAGTTCGCGAGCTCAGTGGTTTCGTTAGTCAACTTGTTTGATTCTTCGGGGTCATTGTCACCAAGGAGATCATCCGAGGGAGGCGGGGGGGAGCGAACTGCGGTCGGAGTTCCGGCTGATGCACCAGTGATCTGTGGCTGCAAGCTCTGGCCAAATGTAGAAGTTGGAACAAAAGGCTTGAAGGTATGCGATGCCGTCTGAGGGGATGCCCTAGAGGAAGGCGATCCCGGGGTTTGGAAAGCATTATTGGAGCCTCCGGTAGACTGAGGCATCTGAGGCTGGGCAAATGGCAGTGCAGGCGAATCGAGGCCGAACAAGTCGTCGGCAGCTGTCCGCACAGCTGGGGCGGGTGCCGGGGGTGCGGGGGCTGCTATTGGTGCCGGCACTTGGCGGCGCATGTTGGGCGGGATGAGCGCGGGAGGGACCACTTGTGGCAGCTGCTCCTTGCCGCTACGCTGCAATCTCACCAAGTACATAGCGACAGCAAATTCTTCCCGGCTCAACTGACCATCTGCGTCGATATCCGCAAGGTCCCAGATTTGAGCAAGGGTTTCTTCGGGAAGCTGGGCTTTCATGAAGAAAGAAACAGCCTGGTCTCCAGTTATAAGTCCCAACTTTGCTGTATCAACAGTCTCGAAAATGCTATCAAACTGGGCCTTCTCTTGTGGAGTAATCAGCCAGTCACCCCCAGTGGCCTGGGCGGAAATAGAGCCTACAAAAGGCGAACGATTGGGTTGGTTCATGGGGCTTGTGGTTCGCTGAGGGCCAGTAAATTGCTGGGGAATGGCCGGGATGGGTGGCACATCGGGTCTCGGCCCAAAAGACGCACGAGCGGCGGATCCCCTTCGAGCTGCCGCATCGTACAGGCCAGGTGGGAGGGTCGCAGGAATGCCGCGCAGGGCACCAGATTTGTATGATGTCAGGAGATGCATGGCAATGGTGAACTCGGTGGCATCTAAGGCACCGCGCTGCTTGGTGTCGGACAAAAACCAGATACGACCCAGAATCTCATTGGGAAGCCGGGCGCGTTCAAATATCTGTTTTGCGATTTCACCTATATATCGAACACAAACTTGTTAGATTCGGTGACATTTTCTCGGCAGTGAAGAGCTACATACCCGAGATCATCCCATTCTTAACGTCCGACTTCTCGAACAACGAAACAAATTTGTTGGCATCGTCCGGCTGAAGTGGAGGAACACGAATAGGTCCACCCGGTCCAGGTGGAGGGCTTTTGGTTCCTGATTCCGGGATACTTGCCGTTGTGTCGACCACAATTCCATCAAAACGAGGCAGAGGGCCAGCTATGAAGCAGATGCAGGATTAGCATGAGTTCCACTTCTCTCAAGGAAACATCACTCACATTGTAGAGCCAACTCGTCGGAAGGCGCGCGGCCAGCTTGGGCATGTCCAATTAACCTCAGAACAATACCGAAGCCAGACGGGGTCAGGAGACCCCTGTTCTCTTTATCCGCAATTTGCCATATCTAAACCACCAATAATTAGCCAGAACTCCCATTGTTGCGATCCAACACCAATGTTATATCCACATACCAGGCCGAGAGTATCAGGGGATAGGTGAGTCTTCTCAAAGAATGGAACGGCGATTTCACCAGTGATGACGCCGAGGTTGGTGGTATCAGCAGCCTGGAAAAGCTGGAAGAAAACGCGCTTTTCCTCAGGAGTGAGGTGAAGATTCGGGTGTCGTTGTGCTATAGGATTATGATCCGTCAGCTCCGCTAGGTCGCGCATAGGAGATGCGGGTGTATGAAGGGGAGGGGTGGTGATGACGGAGGTCGGCGGGCCTTCTCCTTAAGTGCGCCGAAGCTCTCCTGCAATTCATTTTGGGTCTGACAAGGCATATTAAATATTACTCACCGGTATCAGCCATTGCTGTGTCCTAGGAGGAGCTTAACTCCCCGCCTTCCAATAAGTTCACAATAGTTGGGGGCCTTGAGGGACAAGTTGGAGACACGGGATGCTGTCAGCTTAGTCTGAATATGCGACAAGCATGGGTGAAGCGCAGTATTTCACAGAGACGGCAAGGACACGAGATATGAATGAATCTCGAGCTCCAAGGAGAAAAATAAACCTTCAAGAGGAATGGGGATAGAAAGTGGCTGGAGTCGATGTCGTAGGGAAGGTTCCTGGGGTTCTCAAGGCGGTCAGTCAGTCTAGCGCCCATTCTGATCCCAACACGTTGTCTCGCCTTGAAAGGGGGGATACTAACTACAAAGAACAATTGAAAGATGTTGATAGAGCTTGGAGACTACCAATTGAGAGAATTGCTTTTATACAAGTGGACCCAAGGAACCAGTTGTTCCTTGCGTGGTTTCCGAATCTCAATTCTGCATATACAGTACATCAAAGACAGCGACTGTCACAAGATACTACAGCTAGAAAGAGACGGGTTAAAAAAGCAAAACATAGCTTATAGTAAGCAATCCAAACATATTCAGTGGAATTCTCTGAAACGGCATCCAGAGCGGGATCTGATATGATATACTATGTTGTAAATACTATAGACAAAGCCGGAAGTATAGACATTGCATGAACAAGGTCAACACTGGCAGCTCCTGGCCCGATTAGTAAATTGTTAGAACTTTCAAGTTGTGTGTATCTTCGATCTCCTTTTGGAAGTAGGATATTCTCCATCCAATATCAACATGGCCTCTAGGAAATAGAACATATAAGCCGTATGGTTGTCACTAGCACCAGAATATATAGACGTTCAACAAAACTCCCATTTTCACTACCCCGTATAACATCCATATCTGTGGACCTGACTGTCTTACCCTGAAACCTACTGTTATAGTACCATGAGAGCCTAGTCCTGGTTCCCTGCTTGGCCTTTACTTGGTTGTTTGGCCCTCCGGATCTTGCATGGCCTGAAAGCCCTCAAAACATAAGCTGTTTCGCAGTGTATTTCTTAGGTTTTTCTTTTTTTCTTTTTTCTTTTTTTCAGTTTTCATTCTATCTAGATTGAACGGGCATTCAAAATGCCTCCACTCAACATGGACATCGGGGATGGACGGTAGTGCCTTGGACGCAGATATGCGGCCAGTGCTGCGCGTACTTAGTCCACGACACCGGGGACGACTTACCACGGAACAATATAACCAGATTTCCTTATACTTACTATAACTAGATTGGTCCGTATGCATCTCTTCCCTTGCGCCCCGAAGAGTGTTCAGTGTAATAATGACATTTCCTTTCAAGTCAGGCTTTCGTACAGTGTAAACCTAGATATATGCTACATGATGTTGATCAAACCTGGTGCCCAAGACATTTCTTCAATCCCCCACTATGAGACAGCACACTTCGAGAGTCAACCCCAGTTATTTACAACATGCGCACTTTATGATACCAAGGAGAGACAACTTCAGAGAGTAATAACAATGACATACGTATGTAGAAACCCCAAAGGTGGATGGAACGAGGGGAAATTTCATCGCTGCTTAAGGGATATTAAAGATATATCGAACAACAAAGCCAGAAAATCATTGGCAGCAAAACTTATGTTCCCTTCTATTTGCAAGAAGCCCGATAGACGCATGCAGACCGAACCTCTAGACTCATGTTGGTCCCCAAGCCAACCCGTAGAAGTGAAACAACCAAGAGTCCCGAAGACCAGTCACATAACATGGCTAATCTAGTACTCGGGCTCCAGGTCCTCATCACCCTCGATAGAGTCGGAGGCAACCTCCTCGTAATCACGCTCCAGAGCAGCGAGATCCTCACGAGCCTCAGAGAACTCACCCTCCTCCATACCCTCACCAACGTACCAGTGAACGAAGGCACGCTTGGAGTACATGAGATCGAACTTGTGGTCGAGAGCGGACCAGGCCTCGGCGATGGCGGTAGTGTTGGACAGCATGCAGCTATATTATAATTAGTACCAGAGTTGGAATCGGGTTCCAAGACCCGGAAGAATCGGAAAACTTACACAGCACGGCTGAGGTTGGCAAGGTCGCCGTTGGGGACCTGCTGGGGAGGCTGGTAGCAGATACCGAGCTTGAAGCCAGTAGGGCACCAGTCGACGAACTGGATGGTGCGCTTGGTCTTGAGGGTGGCCACGGCACCGTGGGCCTCCTTGGGGACGACATCACCACGGTAGAGCAGACAGGTGGCCATGTACTTTCCGTTGCGGGGGTCACACTTGACCATCTGGTTGTGGGGCTCGAAGCAGTTGGAGGTGATCTCAGTGACAGAGTGAGCCTCGTGGGCGGCCTTGTCGGCGGAGATGATAGGGGAGTAGGCGACCAGAGGGAAGTGGATACGGGGGTAAGGCACCAAGTTAGTCTGGAACTCGTTCAGGTCGACGTTGAGGGAACCGTCGAAACGCAGGGAAGCAGTGATAGAAGAAACAACCTGAGCGATCAGGCGGTTCAGGTTCTCGTAGCTAGGGCGCTCAATGCCGAGGTTGCGGCGGCAGATGTCGTAGATAGCCTCGTTGTCGACCATGAAGGAGCAGTCGGAGTGTTCCAGGGTGGTGTGAGTAGTGAGGATAGAGTTGTAGGGCTCAACAACGGCGGTAGCGTTCTGAGGGGCGGGGTAGACACAGAACTCCAGCTTGGACTTCTTGCCGTAGTCGACGGACAGACGCTCCATCAGGAGAGCACCGAAACCGGAACCGGTACCACCACCGAAGGAGTGGAAGACCAAGAAACCTTGGAGACCCGCACAAGCATCGGCAACACGACGAACACGGTCGAGGACCTCATCGATCATCTCCTTACCCACGGTGTAGTGACCACGGGCGTAGTTGTTGGAAGCATCCTCCTTACCGGTGATCATCTGTTCGGGGTGGAAGAGCGAACGGTAGGTACCGGTACGGACCTCATCGACGACATTGGGCTCGAGATCGGCGTAGATGGTACGGGGAACGTACTTGCCCTGGCCTGTGAAGTGGGGGGAGAAAGAATGTTAGGAAGCCATGTTTTGGAATTTTGCACATCAAGGCGGGGGGCCATGTAAAAAAATATTCATCAGGGTTTTCATACCAGTCTCAGAGAAGAAAGTGCTGAATCCGTGGTCAGGGTCGGCCTTCTTGCGCTCCTCAGTGAGGAATCCATCGGGCTATCATCGATGTTAGTCGCGGGTGTTTACCTCTCGGCAAGAAAATAGGGGGTACGGGTGCCCGAGTCAAGATTGGGCGCCACCATGAGTTTGATTGGAATTTCAACGTACCTGGATACCGTGCTCCAGACAGTACAGCTAGAAAATCGATGCTGTCAGTTTACCGAAGACTTGTCCCTCAATAGGGGTGGTGATAGTTACCTCCCAGCAGGAGTTGGCGATCTGGCAACCGGCCTGGCCGACTGTAGAGGAAGGTCATGTCAGCGCGTCCATTGAATAAAATATATCAATTCTGACAAGCAGAATAGATGGACGATGTTGACATACCGTTCAAACTGATAATCTCTCTCATTGTGATCGAGTCAATGTTTTTTCAGGCTAAAAAATCAGGAGGGGAAAACGAAACCCAAAACAACAAACGCGGTGGTCTGAAACTCTCGGTTAGGTTCAAATTGACAGGTAAATGCACGATGGAAGGGGGCGGGGGATGTCCTTACCTGAAGAATGGAGGAATGGACGAGAAGATGGAAGAGAAAACAAAGTCGACCAGAAATGTTGTGGAGGAGGAGCCGTCTGTGCTGTACAAGGGGGAACTTCGTTGTTGATCCGTTCGTTGGGTCGCGTTGGGCCTTTTGATTGGCTCCTTCCCGGTGAGGAGCGGCGGTTACTGACCGCCTCGTACTAGTCTCGTGATTTCACGTGATGGATAACATTAGTACCTTGTAATATATCAGTATTAAAAAAAGGACATATTTAAGCTTAAATAGTTATACGAGAAAAGTTGAAATTCGAAAATCTATCCAGCTTGTGCAGGAGTGTTCAACGTGGTCGACTCCTAAAAGGGTGGTGTGGTGTGATAACGGCGTTTGGAGCTATCTGAATACTCGGTCAGCTCGGATCCACTGGGGGGAACCACCTCGAACCACCATTCGGCCATATCATAGCCAAAGTATTAAGACAACACATCTCGGTACTGTGCTCCGTATACACTTCCAGCAATATACATTCAATGTTTGAGTACTAATTGACCTCTAGAACCATTATTGTGACTGGTTGAGCCTCGCCATGAGCCAAGAATAAGACATCTCTAAAACATCATCTCATCCACCTAAAAGTCTTCCTATATTGCAGAGCAAAACATCGAGTCTCTCATCATGCATATCAAGCTCATCCCCACTTTGGGACTCATACTCCCCCTCTTCACGGCAGTGGCGCAAGCAAACGTGGAAAAGACCATCTTCCTAGCACCAGCACCAGCAACCGTCCCTTCCGACGAGCCAGATCTCGACGACCTAGGTCTGGAGCGTCTATCACCACAAAGACCCGTGGTGCGTACTCACCTAAATGCCTCCTTTCCAACGACCACCGCACCCGACGGCACAGGCTCGTGGTTCTTCCTTGAAAACCTGAACCCGGGCCAGCGGTATGAAGTACGGGTGTGCTGGCTAGCCACAGTAAGATCACCAATTCTCTCACTCAATTCTCCATCTCCCTCTCTATATTTATTTTCTTGCATATATAATACCCATCGCCACACATAAATATAACTAACGCCCCCATAGCAACCAACAACATTCACCCTCACCACCTACCCACTCTCAAAAACAATCGAAGACACAAACCTCCTGTCTTCGCTGAGCATGTACACATCAGCCCGACTGGCAACACTAGACCCAAAACTCCAGGGAAATGTCATCCCGCGCCGTGCCAATGCGCGCAGCAGCAAAGATCCACTCGACCCTGCACCGACTAGTGACTCGGTCCTGTTTCTGCATGTACACGCCGCAGCAGATTACTTTAGTACCGACCAGGCATTGATGCAGAATGTCCCACCCGTGGCGGTGGACTTGATCCTTGACCCGTTCCTGTTTAATGTTTTCCCGCGCTCGTTGATGCCGACTGCTGGGTGGATTGTACTTGTTGCTATTCTTGCAGTGGTGTCGGGGAGGTGGGTTGTGGGTGAGGTTGGGAGGGTTGTGGGCGATGCTAGGAGGCAGAGTGTTTTGGAGGAGATGAAGACGAAATGAGGGTGGTGTGGGCTTTGTGCGTTTTGAGAGAGATGTACGATTGTAGTAAGATGTATGAACTTTGTAAAATAAAAAAAAGCATTGAGATACATTTCCTCGTTCCTCTGGAGATCTAACGTGACCGCTTGGCGACTAATTATGTATCTCTCCCTTCTGGAATGTTTTCACACCGGCAAAATTAGCGTATCGATGATGAGGAAAGTTGGTGAATTGGAAAATGAAGTCTACTAATGAGGAATGAATGGGAGAAGTTATGAAGAGTGAGCAGCCAATCTCATTCAACTATGTAGCTCGTAGGAAAGTTCTATAACATGGATTTTACATTATCATTAGTTCCAAGGGCAAGATTGTGTATATATTTAGTGTAGAACCATTGACCCAGACAAACACGGTCAAATATTGGAGATGCAAAAGGCAGAATTCAGATAGCATAACAAGAACAATTACATGCCGAAGGCGCAAAATCAGATACATAGGAGTAGGTGCTGGATACAGGATGACCAACGGCAGTGGGGAATAAAAAGCAAAGCTATATGGGTAGTGCATGAGAAGCAACAGGGGTAAGAATTGAAGCAAAAAAAAAAAAAAAAAAAAAAGAGCCAAAAGCTAACTTGTAGGTCAACCAACTCTCCCTCCCTTCTTTCCCCTCTGGAATAGACTGGTATTCATGCCAGTCTATTCTAGATAAACCTACGGACGGACATCTAGATCAAATGACAAGATCACACAAAACTCCCGTTAAATCGTAGCTGCGTGAATGGCTCAGCCATTACAAATAACGTAGCTTAACGTTAATCTTAATCTTCAAAGAAGTTCAGGATCGCGCGAATACCCTTAGAGCCCAGGCCGTGAGACGGGTAGGAGATATACAGCGGGTCCTCGGTGGCGCCGAGCTTAGCACGGAATTCACTTTTGCGCACAAGATGGAACTGCTTAGCAAGGGCTTCGTAGGTGTGCTCCAGCATCTTGACCTTAGTTCCGCGCATATTGTGGCCAGCGGTGAGCTGGGAAGTGGCGCCAGCGCCAAATGTGAGGCCCTTGACGCCGCCCTTGGCGGCGGTCTGGATTGCATGCGTAACAATGTACTCAATAACACCGTTAGGTGCGCCGGGGAAATCAAGACTGTACTTGACTTGCATACCGTGGGCAGGAGATAGCATAGCCAAAGCGACGAAGGCACAGATGACGCCGTTCTTGTCCAGAGCATAGAAGTACCAACGGTGCTCGGAGTCACACCATGGGCGGATCTGGGACAGGTGCACTTGTGTGCCCTTGCGGTTGGACAGCCACTCGCTGACACGCTCATCAATCTTCTTGCGGATATCGTCCGGTACCATCTCGCCTTGGTTCATGGAGACCAGCTTAATGCCCTCGGTTTCGGCGCGACGCAGCTTACGTGCAATCTCCCCGTCAGAAGCGGCCTGGTTGCGCGATGGATCAACGCGCTCTTCGGCGATACAGGACAAACTGCGCCAGCCTAGCCTCTCGCCAAGAATAGTCTCAACCTCAGGCGAGCAGAGGATCCACACGGGCTTGAACTTGGTCTCGCGGCGTAGCCATTGCAAGAATTGTGTAATTGTGCGTGCGTACTGCTTGCGATCGCAGGCCGGGTTACCGGGAATGATCGCGTAGTTGTTGGAGCTAGGTACGTAGGCAACGGCTGCACCAGTGGTCATGTCACGCCAGATCTTGAAGCGATCATCAAACCAGGAGGTTGATGTGGCATCGCCGTAATTGGCGACGAGATGCTCCAAAGGCTGCAACTCACTGAGGTCCGAAGCTGCCCGAGCCTTGTGCTCACGGTGCCACGGCGGTTCAATGGTCGATGATTCTGGGTGTCGGAGCTGTTCAGATACAGGTTTGGCTGGCAAACTCTTAGGGTCACGAGGGAATAGTGATGTGAGGCGGATGTTGCCCAGCTTGAGGATAAGCATCACGATACGTTCCAGGCCAACTCCTGCGCCAGCATGGGGCGGGGCACCCCAGCGGAAGCCCTCGAGATACTCCTCCATATCATCCGGGTTGATGCCCACACGACGCATGTTTTCTTCGAGCAGGTGGGGATCGTGGATACGTTGACCACCCGAGACAATCTCTTGGCCACGAATGAACATGTCAAATGAGTTAGTGAACTGGTCGTCTTCGGCGTCGGGCATCGTATAGAAGGGACGTGCGCCGCGAGGGAATTTGTCGAGGACATAGTAATCGGTACCGTATTGCTCCTTGACAAGCTCACCCAGGCGAATTTCATCACGGGTACCCAGGTCCTCGTCTAGAGGCAGCTGCTCGCCGTCTTCATTCAACCAACCCGAGTCGTTCAGCATCTTAATACCATCGGTAAAACGAATGATCGGCGTCTTTTCCAGCCATACGACATCTTCGGAGGGAAACTGGTGCTTGATGAGGTCAACCTCGCGGCGGTGTTTGGTGTAGATACCGCTGAGGATATTCTTAATCACAGCGTCGAGGGTCTCAAGCATCTCGTGGTAGTGCTCCTCAATAGCCATCTCAAGATCCAATCCAGTATATTCTGTAAGATGACGGTGGGTATTGGAGTTTTCGGCTCGAAAGACAGCACCAATCTCGTAGACGCGGCCGAAATCAGCAGCAATGGCCATCTGCTTCGCCAATTGAGGAGACTGAGCGAGGAATGCAGGGCGGCCGAAATAGTTGACCTGGAAGACACTCGCTCCAGACTCCGTAGCGGCGCCTTGCAACTTCGGGGTATGGATTTCGACGAATTCGCGGTCATCAAGGGCAGAACGGAAAAGATTACATGTTACGGCCTGAAGACGGAAGATGGATTGCGAGGTTGCGGTGCGAAGGTCAAGGATTCGGTTGGCCAAACGTGTCCGGTCAGGGATATGGTTGCGGCGGCCCTCGGCCTTCTCTTCTTCGTTGGTCCGAATCTCTGCCTCGTAGACGCTGAAGGGGACAGGTTCCTCGCGGCGAACTTGGAGGTGAATCGAGTCAACGGCCAGCTCGACATCATGAATTGAGCAGCCCAAAACTGGAACCTCGGGTTTCTGGACAGTGCCGCGGACCATGACAAAAGACCCCACTCGGAGGTGCTCCACCCATTGGATCATCGCGAGAGACGAGATCCCCTCCCGCTCATGTAAAACACCTTGGAAGGTACCTAGCTGCTGGCGGAATACCAAGAACACTAGCTTGGCACTCATTCGACGGATGACGTGTAGTCGTGCGCTGAAGAACACTTGTTGCCCATCCATGGCAAGGGTTATGTCATCGATCCGAGTGCGCAATTCTCGTGTCCGAGTGGCAGACTGCATTAAGGGAAGCTCGCCATATCGAGCTTTCATGTCAGGCGTCTCCTCGGCCGCAGATTTGGCAATCTCCTCTTCCTTGTGGCGGCGGTCGGTCTCGGAGAACATCTCCTCACTGAGACGACTGCGCTCGCTTCGACGGTGCTGGCGCATCAACCGCTTTTGTTGATTTTTGCTCAAGGTACCGGAAGAAGAGTCATCGGAGACATCTTCAGATGAAGAAACATACTCATTCTTATCACGTAGGAAGTTGCTGAGAATGCTGCGACGAGGGGATGCGGTGGGGGAACCAGACCGAGATTGGTTGGTACGAACTTTGGGGGGTAGGGCAGAACGAACGTTGGAACCGGAGGAGTCATCCTCACCACCCAAGTGTCCTCTGATTGCCTTTGAGAGGGCACGTTTAATCGACATAGTTGTTTAAGTCTTATGAGAGGGGGGGGGAAGAGAAAGAAGAGGGAGTCTGTATATATAAGCCCTGAGAGAAGTGGGGGGTGGGCCGGAACGGGCGATTTCCAATCTGTTTAAACCTTGGAAGTTGCCCTGCTCAAGAGAAATTCCCGAATCCCGAGGCCGACGTAAGCACAAAAACAGGAATTGTGCAGGATAATTAGATGAAATTGAAGACTGAATAGTAGAGCTAGAAATCCAAAGAATCAACTAAAGAATCAAAATAGTTCATGTCCCTTTAAAACAAAATATAAACCTGGACAGCCCTAGGGTGATGACATCATCCGACATCCAAGCCCGGGCCTGATTTTCTTGGTATGGAGTTCTTCACAGGCACAGGCCCTCATGCGGGCCATTGCTTCGCTTCGATCTTACGTTGTACTTTGTACTCTATTTCAATCACTACTCAGGATCCCTCACTGTTCTTTCTCTCGTTAACATCGTCGATTTTGATTTTGATTTTGATCTTCCTCAATCTCAAAATATCTCACGGCCTACGCTATTGACCCCCCCGTCTTATCACCGTCGGCTTCCGACTCCATCCGATGCGCATACCGAATCGATAGGACGAACATTACTTCTCACTGCAGCATCATGGCCTCATCTCGTTGGTGGCTCTATGTGCAGGCCATCTTTTGGCGGTTCTTGATGCGGATCGGCATGTTCCTGCACGAGATCTACCCCCGACCACCCCGACCGTTATTTACCCGCACCGTCACCTCCGACTCCTGCCATCCCGTCATCCTCCACTTCTACTGTCCACCAGATTATCATGAGCGGCGAAGGCTAGGCCATCGATTTCCCGTCGCCGTCAACTTTCACGGTGGTGGTTTCACACTTGGTGCCGCCACTGATGATTCTCGCTGGGCGAAATCAGTGCTGGACAATACCGGGGCCGTAATGGTGAGTGTCGCCTACCGACGAGCACCCGAACACCCATTTCCCGCGGCAGTAGACGACGGAGTCGAGGCACTACTATACCTGGCGACACATGCCGGCGAACTGGGGTTGGATGTGAGCCGTGTAGCACTGAGCGGGTTCTCGGCGGGCGGCAACCTGGCTGTCACAGTGCCTTTGCGGCTGCGCAGCAGAATATCCACGGAAGTGAAGGATCAACTGGGTCGAGCGGAATCCACCCAGAATCTGCTCAATCAGGTCAGCGATCTCCACATCGTTGCTTTGTTCTCTTGGTACCCGATTCTTGATTTCGAAGAATCTCGCGATCACCGTCGTGCTATGAGTTTGATGCCCGACAAGACTCTCCCTGAATTTTTCACCACCCTCTTCGATGAGGCTTATCTTCCTGATTTAGACGAACGTGTCTCCCCCTATGCCTCTCCCATCCACGCATCTGACCGTATGCTGTCTGACGCCCTTCCCCGCGACGTGTTCCTCTTTATCTGCGAGTGGGATATGTTGATGAAGGAAGGTCAATCCTTCGTTCGCCGCTTAGAAAGTCTCGGTAAACGGCCTCGTGCCATGCTCATCGCGAAAGCCCGGCATGCGTGGGATAAATCACCTAATCCGTGGCGGGACCAAAACAGCGTGGACCTTTTATACCGTGATGCCTGTGCGGATATGAAGGCTATCTTCGACCGGTGATCGATTTTCTTGACTTTTCTTGATCTTTCATGTCTTACTCTTAGTTTTCTTTTCTTTTCTTTTCTTTATTTTTGTAGCACTGCGGGACTTGACTTTGGCGTTTGAACTAGCATCCACGGCGTCGGTTGTATATAGCATTGTTTGATATGTTTATCCTATTGTCACTTTATTAGCCTGTTTCATATGGTATACCTACAAGATAGATACAACATAACTGTATGTCTTATGGGATTGTATTGGTTGGGATCATCCATGGATATATATAATATTCGCTTTGTGATGTTAGTTACCTCCAGGTGCATGTACGGGATTTCATCTGCCACTTCTTACTCTAGAGAATATTCGACCCTAAAAGTACCTGGCATAAGCAATATTGAGTTGACTCATATTTGCGCTAGCAGAGTTGCACATCGCTGACCGGAGCCTTTCGTGGTCCCAAAGACATGCTTGGATGATTATCAAGACCGATTCCAGCAAGGGTCGAAGCTGAGAATGTTAAGGCACGAATTATCTTGATCGAATGAGTGCAAACTCAACTTCAGGATCATAATCTGACCATCCCAGAGCTTTTAGTCCGTGTTGAGGATCAGCGATGGATAAACCCCAAGCCGAACGCATCTGACCCTGCAGCTGGCGCCGCGCATCAGACTCAGCAATCCCAGTAATCTTAGAAGATTCTCCAAAAATCATATTAAACTCAACCTAGTATGCGTCGCTAGTAGGGTAAAGACGGGTATTCTCCCAATCGGCGTTGTATTGGAATCGCCAAACTGGTGTATGTCGGCGACTTCGGTGTGCTGCTTCGAGAGTGGATGGACAGAAGCACATTTGCATATTGAAGTCATCCCATTGCTTGTCTGTCAACGTCAATCCCTGGGCATAGCTCGCAATTTTATAGAATCTGGCTTCATTGGCGTTGTGCCCGACTAAGTAGGGCTGTTTGGGAAAGTGCTAGTTAGCAACTACATTGATCACTATTGAGTATAGTCGAAGTCCAGGAGAGTCCACTCAGGTTACGGGCAAATTTCCCTTGCTACGAAAGAAGAATGTAATTCCAAAAAATAGTTATATTATCCATAGTAGGCTGGAAAGCCGAGGATTTCCTCGCAGGATTTGTAGTCGGAACCTTTAGTGCACTAGCAGCGGCGAGAATAGCACTCGCATTCTGTTTTCTCATGCACAGCAGCACCCCCTGAAGACCCACATACTAACTGGGCAGACACAGTATACCAATGCTTTGCTGCGATTGTCCTATCATTTGTCGGGCAACTGAAGGCTGTACCGGAATGTGAGATCAAACCGGCAACTACGGGTTCGGATTGGTAGGCGTATGCCCAATAATCAACAGAAGCATTTCCGCGGGACTGGCCAGATATAGTAATGCGGGTTGGACCACCCCCCGAATCCATGAATATTTTGCTTCGCCCATTCAACGGCTAAACGTTGATCTAGTAGACCAAGGTTAGGAGGGTGTCCAGGCAGACCAGGAAATCCGAAGATATTCACAACGATTACATCCTCTGCATCAGCGAATCCGCCTCCATAGTAAAAGGGAGTATTGGTCCCGCCACTTGTCCATCCTATATCACAGATTAGAAACATGAGCCGATATTGAAAATAAGAAGGGAAAACCCACTACCACCGTAGAAATGGACATAGACTGGTTTGGGCTGATTTAAGTCTGGCTTTGACCAAACATTTAGAGTCAAGCAATCTTCACTTTGAGTGTTGTTATTAATAGCCGCGAAGGCCTCGAAGATATTGTCAAATTGCGGAGTTTTGTTGGGATAGTCGACCAGCTTCGACACCGAGTACATGCAGTCTCTTTAATTTTTCTTTTTGTCAATTGAGAAAGCAGAACAGTATTGTGCAAGATAATACTCACCTCCTCTAGATTATACCAATGTCAGAACTTCACATTTCATGCATTTTATAGCGGGATGTAAAGAATAAAATGAACTCATACATATTCCGAGGCGAAGTGAACACCCTTGGGCGTAAATCTATTTAGTCCCCTAACCAGCCGTCCGTGGCCCCATCGAATGCCTAGTAGGGGCCTGTAGACAGCCTCCAAGCCATGTTTTCATAAACGAAGAGAGGAAAAAAGAAGACGACTTTCTTTCCTGACCCCATACTCATTAAATGCATATAGGCAATTGTCTTTCCGACTCAATCCAACCTCATTTCTTGATAATGACGTCTGTACTACGACAGAGAATCAGTCGCGAACTTTGTTAATAGCAGTTTGAAGAGACACGACTCGTCATAATATATTTCAGCGTTATCCTTAAACCTACCATAATTTATTCGAGCAGTCTATGTCATCATGCCCGGTACCTTTGTCACCGTTGATCTTCTCTCTGAACCAATATGTCGACTGACCACCTTCTACCAGACTGTACGACCTGTTAAACACCAAGATACCAGATCCACAGCTATGGGCTACCCGATGCTTGGGTTGACCCTTATGCTTTGGCCCTTGGACCCGCTTTCCACCGGCCCGCTTTCCCCTATTGGAAGGTCCACGAAGTTTGCACATGAAAGGCTAATTGTAGGTACCGATATCCTTAAATTCCTTCAAATGTTAATTTGATGATAGGGTATTGAGCTAAGTCTGATATTGTTGACGAACATAACTCGATATCATTCCCGAAGTGGTAATGATCTAACTACCCTTCTTCCGTGGGTTTCAGCTACACGTCTGGCCCCCAAACCCATTCCCGTTGCTAACCCACCTACTTATCCACTGGGTAGCCATTATTGGTATAACACCTAGCTCAAAAGATGCTGAATGATCATAGCGGCCTTTACGATGTCGATCTCTGATTGACATCCCGAGGGTCTTCGTGCGACTCTAGCTTTGATGTTTCCTTCTCCCCTTTCGATAATGGGATCGTAGAATCATCCTCATCCAGCCGCTCCAATATTTCTTCATCTCGCGATGGTCCCCCGTTCCCTTCTCCACCTCTCCATATTTGCGTCCCTGGTCGCAGCATCGAAGCAGTGCTATTTCCCTAGCGGAGATGTTGCCCTCGACGACGTCCCTTGTTTCTCGGGTGACGCAGACTCACCATGTTGCTCCAAAGATTCGATTTGTCTCAGCAATGGGCTTTGTTACGGGATCTCACAACCATATTCGCTGAGTCGAGGTAGTTGCACCAATAAGAACTGGCCAGCAGACGGCGGTTGCGACGATAAGTGTTCTGATGGTAAGCCGATCTCATAAATTTCGAGGTCCTGCTTCAAAAAGCTAACAGTTACTTTTTCTGTTTACAGCAACCGACATGCGCAATAAAGGGTGTGCGCTGCCGTTTTATCACATTATGGACGAGAAGCCTTACTATTGCGCCAACTCCGTTGTAGTCAATTCGTCAGGCGACCTCGCTTGTTACGCTGGCTCCCCCTTCACACTTAATTCCGGGGAGTTAATTTCGGGCAAGGCTGCGCTCGCCAATTACACTTCTGCTCATATCAGCTCAAACTCCACGTCGAATGCGAGCACAACTGCATGCCCCACAACACCGAGCGACGAGAACAAGGGGGCCAATGATAACACGGAAGGGAAAAATAACAATGCTGTCGCGATCGGAGCCGGGGTGGGAATACCACTAGGAGTCCTGCTTCTCACTGCGCTGGGCTGGGCATTATTCGAACGGAAAAAACGACTCTCTGCTCAGGCTTTGGTGGCGGGACTCCAATCCCAAGCTGCCGCGACACCGACGTACTGGGATGGGCCGGGACAGAAATCGGGTTATTCTCCTCCTACTGAGCTCTCTGCTTACAAACCACCCCAAGAGCTAGAGACTACCTCCCGTTGACGGCGGTGTGTGGTCATCATGGTCTCTTCGAGTTGGCGCTGGAAGGACGGGGAGTTGGAAGGGATTTTATATGCTTGGGTGATATGCTTGTTTCCATCGGGCTTAATGCCGGTTAGTAGACCGAAGAAGCAAGTTTTCCAACGGGAGCTTCAGGGAAAAAAGAAAGGCGGATCCTAAGTTATCATGAAAATCCGGTCAGACTTTCGTGGGCGGGTTTGGTGTTGGACGATCTTTATAGGCAGGGTCTAGTTTCAATCAACATGGGTGTATGCGCCCGCAATGTCTGTTCATACATACGGAATAGCATCCACCAATCAACTGTCTACATAAACTGGGGTCCAAGTAGCATGCCCTGCTAAAAGGATCCCCAGTGATTTCCAAGGTTGATGATGGACGGTGACGAAAGAGTGGAGCTACGTTCATTTCTAGGTCTGAAATCAAGCTTTTGGTAGATCAAAGTTCGTTTAAAAGGACTAGAACGTCTTAACTAAAATGACCCTGAAATATTTCTGGTTTTCTTTGTTGGGTTAGTCCTGCACAAATTTGGGGGGTTTTTTTTTGTCCCTTGCTCATTTTTGTTATGATGGGATCCTCACAGGAACCCGACCGGGATGCCGGAGTCAAAGGTATGACAGGCTTGAATAAATCACCGCGCAAACAGGAATAACGCTAATACACCGATAGATGCCGTGGAAGCTCCGGAACGCGAGCAACCAGAAGGCACCGAAGAAGAACGAAGCAAGTATGATGGCATGGGCCAAAACCCATCCTATAGTTTGGCGGGCTCTGGCGCGCAGAATCCAAACAACAGCCGAGCATATACAGATGAAGAGTACGACAAGTACAATTTCCAGGCCGAAAAAGAAGATGACGGTCCAACCTGGAGTCTGGCTCAGCCACTCCCTCATATTGTCCGGCCTGGCATGCGTCATGGCGCCTTACCAGAGGACCGAAATGAAGACAAAGTCGCTAGAACAGAGAAAGACGAGGATCCGGCACAGACGGACGAGGAAAAGCGAATGAAGAAGGTTAATGATCCCCGAGAAGATGGCTTTTTCAACACTTGGTCGAAAATTCGTCACTATCTTCGTGAGCCAATGGCCGAATGGCTCGGAGTAAGTTTTTGATATCGCCGAAAAATTCAAAAACGATTTGCTAATACACATCTTTCGTAGACAACTATGGCAATGACAATCGGTCTTTGCGCTACCTTATCCAACTTTACTTCCTCTGGACAAGCCGGATCATACCCTGCTCAAAGTGTCGCCTGGGGTTTCGGATTTATGACCGCTATCTATACTACTGGAGGTATGTCTGGTGGTCACTTGAACCCAGCCGTCTCAATCTCGCTATCTGTATTTCGCGGATTCCCTGCTCGTCGGTGCATGATATACATTGCTGCTCAGCTCCTCGGTGCTATCACCGCAGGGGGTATATCATACGCGATATACCACGACGCCATTGTCGAAGTCGCCACGGTAGCCAAAGTGCCTCAGAATGCAAGCGTCGCCGCTCAGGCTCTTCTCACCTTACCGAAATCCTTTGTCCGTCCTGCGACTGCATTCTTCACCGAGTTTTTGGGCAGCGCAATCCTAGTTGGTTCTATTCTTGCCTTGGGAGATGATACAAATGCACCCCCAGGAGCGGGAATGCAGGCGTTTATTATTGGGATTATCATTACGATTGTGATCCTTGCACTTGGGTATAATACTGGAGGGTATGTGTTCGATTGTTAATTCCCAATAGGTCAAGTTTGAAACTAATTGCCGGTCTCTTTATAGTTGTTTCAATTGCGCACGAGACTTTGGTCCGCGACTTGTTGCCGTCATGGCGGGATGGGGTGGACATCTTTTCCGAGAATACCATGCGTGGTGGATTTGGGGTCCGTGGGTTGCGGATATCACCGGTGGATTGTTTGGTGCCTTGATCTATGACATGGCTATCTTTACTGGTGGTGAGAGTCCAGTCAACTATCCTCCACGGAGGCGAAAGCGCGCATACCGTGTGAGAGCTTTGAATCTTCGGAAGAAACTTCGGATTGGGAAAAGAAAGCTTCCCGATCTTGAGCATTCTATTGCAGATACCGAGCTCTAAACTACATGTATACTTTACATTTATAGTTGTGGATTTAAAAATAAAATTACTGAGCCTTGGATCTTTAGTTGTTTCATCTACGTATCGTACTAAACTATGTATCCACACTACTAACAAGCCACTAAGAGGGCTGATGAAACTTCGACTGGGAGCTAACAAAAGGTCCGCAAAGGTATAGACTTGATCATGAAGATTCTTGTTGGATTCTGAGACGTGGGGATTTCGGGAGCCGACGGATGCCGGGACAATGATCCAGGGAACAGAGTCCACGGCCAACTTTGGTTTTATATAGAAAGTTATGAGTGTTGACAGTCTACTACCTCGATAGGCACTGGCGAATTGAGCGCAGCAAATTTACCAGCAAACACTTAGACGCAAGGCTGAGGATTAATAGAAAATACGGAGTAAGTTTTAGAAGTCAGACACCTCGGACCTCCACAAATCAGCCTCAAAAACGCTAGTCGCGAGTAAGAGAATGGAACCAGCTACAGGTGGAGATTGTATTCAACCAATAGAAGCGACTAATTCCAATTTCCTAAGTGTTTTGAGTCGCTTAATTGGGCCTTAGGGGTCCTTATAAAATGAGGTCTCACTTAAAAATAGGGTCCGAGAAAGAAGAAAAAAATAATAATAATAATCAGGGGGGAAGCAATATATCGTGATGGGCATCTCAGTCTCTTAGCCTTCACCAAGTCTACGACGTCTCGGGACGTGTAGACTACCATCCCCTCTCCGAAATCCCTTCATCTTCATCTACACCGTTACCATGCTCCGGAGGCCATCATTCACTAAATTCTCAACCACAACCATATTCATCCTAACATGTCTCTTCTTCATCCTCTATTACCACCCCATGAGACTAGCAGCACCAGAAGGCCCCCCCGAATATGATACATCCAGAAAGGGCTTCCAACCAGCATCGCCGCGGATCCCAGAGAAGATCTGGTACAAAGTTGGACCTAAAGGGTTGAGTGACCAGTCACATGAATGGTTGGACGATTGTCTCCACAAAAACCCTGCTCATAGCGCGCAGATCATGACAGACCTCACGGGCGATCAATATGTCGAACAAAAATTCGGTCATCGTCCCGACATCGTCCACGCCTACCTTTCTCTGTCCGTGCCGATCCTGAAAGCGGATTTCCTGCGCTATCTGCTTCTTTTCATCGAGGGGGGCATCTGGGCTGATCTTGATGTCTCGTGTGGTGATGTACCAATTAGAGAATGGATCCCGGAGACAATGCGCGCTAAAGCTGGGCTTGTTGTTGGGTGGGAGTTTGACGTTGGCTGGGGAGATAGTTTTATTCGGCAGTTTGAGAGTTGGACCATTATGGCGGCGCCGGGTTCGCCGCATCTTTTGATGGTTATTGATGATATTATGGATGGGATTCGCGAGAAGACGGAGGAGTATGGGGTTCCTGTTTCCGGGTTGACTTTGGAGATGACGGGGAATGTGATTGACTTTACGGGGCCCAGGCGGTTGACCCGTGGGATTTTGAAGAGTCTGGAATTGGTTCGCAATGAGACGATTGATATGCCGAGTATTTCGAATCTCTTGGAGCCTGTTTTGGTTGAGGATGTTTTGATCTTGCCTGGGTATTCATTCGCTGCATCGTCGAATACTTATAGCAATGAGAATGTGACTGGTCCTTCATTAGTCCAGCATCATTATGCAGGCAGTTGGAAGAATCATAATGGTGGTGAGATATGATCGGGGATGTGAATTCATGTACATTTAATCTTGCATAGAGCCATATATTTATAAGGCAGTCGGGTTTATTAGACCGTTAGAAGAGCCTAGGAAATTTCTTGTAATTATTTTCCCATTTTTTGAACAGCTAGATTCATCAGCACTATGGTAGTACACGAGACAGAAATTTCTCTGGAATTCCACCGGATAGTTCCCGTGCACGTTCAAGAAGAACGCTATCATAAGTCATAAGGTATCGGGAACTTTTTGTGGAAAAAAAAAAAGAACAGAAAAGAAACAAGATCGAAAGATCGAAAGATCGCAAATATTGGTGGAAATCCCGAACGCCACGCTGAAGTAACAAAAAATCGAACCATACATCAAGTCCTGATTCGAGAAAGATAAATCGTGTCTAATTTACTCCTCATCAGTCTCGGTGACATCGTCGCCAGATTCATCATCGGAGTCGTCAGCTTCGCTGTCTGACTCGTTTGCGTCGTCGAGACCTGGAATACCGCGCCACTCGACGTAGTCGCCTTCCAGCCAGCGACGGCTGCGGGGAAGTTGGTAGGGGTCGAAGGGGAAGTATGCGTCCAGTTGATAGCCGATGTTATCACCAGCACGGATCTCACGGCCGACGTGGCTGAAGCGAGGGTCTGAGAGATTGGAAAGGTTCCTGAAGGCAGTCACGCGAATGCGCTTGTTGGTCTCAAGGAGAGGATATACGTATAGGAATTGGAAGTGGTGGGCGATACGGGCAAACTCGGCGACGATGGCCGGGGAGCACACCTTGAGCGGATTCAGTCGCGAATAGATGCATTTGTGAAGGAATTCTTTGATGTTGGGAGAAAATGTGATCTGGCCCGGCTCAAGCTCATCCACCTGGTCCGGAGTATCACCATCAATGGCAGCGGTTGTCAGATCCCGCCACCGGAAACAGAAGATGTACAGAAGTGCTTGTGCGGTGGAGTAGAAAGGTCCATAACGACGGAGATCGGGACCGCGGCAGCTGTCCTCATAATCTATACGTAGGCTGTTGAGGTGTGTGAGGAGGAGGTCGAAGACGTCGCGAACCACTTCTCCGGAGATATGGGCACCACGTGCAACAAAGCTGGCCAGGTATGCGGCTGCTGACTGGCGCAGGATGCCAGGCTGCAGCTTGTTGAAGATAAGCTGCACGAATGTGGACGCGAAGCGATCAACGAGCACAGGCGAGGCCTGGGAGAAATGGAACAAGAGGAACTGCGAGTGACGGGATCGGTATGTAGGAAGGATAATCGTTTGGAAGTGGCTGAGGAGCAGATCCAACGCATTCTCCTGATCATCTAGGGTGCCCGAGGTGAACGGGGGCGAAAAGTATTCAAAGAGGATATCAATCATGCCATCCACTTTGAGAATGTTGTCCTTGATTTTCTTGGCCCCCTTGGTGTCATCATCTTCGGATTCCTCGCTGGTAACCGAGGCATCATCATCTTCCTCATCGTCAACCTCATCCAGAATTTCTTCACCGACCTCCTCTTCAAAGTCCTCCATATCAACCTGGATTTCAACGTCGACCTTGACAAGCTTTTCGGTGATAAGAGCCAGGATGTCGGACTGCAGCTCTGGGGTGTACGTAATGATTTGGATGAGATTGCGGGTGTAGGCTATGCTCGCGCTAGCTGAATCTGAGTCGAAGGGGAACTGTGTGGACAAAATTGGAGAGAGTGACCCACTGCCGGCTGGGATGAGCCGTAGCACATGGCGCATTGCCATATGGACTCGAGTATGCATTTCAGACGGTGACACAACGGCGTAACCAGGGAGTCGACCGAGTCCTCGAGGGATGGACCCGAGGTTGGTGGCTAGCATCTTCAAGACAGGACCGAGGAAGGTACCCTGTGCGGCGGCAAGGTTGCCCAGGAACCGGATGTACAGCTTCACGTAGGATTCGTCCCGACCGAGCCACTCGCTGTTGATGATGGCATGGACCAACCCGCTGCAGGAGCGGTCCAAGGAGGCGACATGCGAGATCAGACCAAGAAGGTGGTTCCGCAAAGATGCGTGTGTTGGTGATTCATATGCAAGCAGGCTGTCATCGTCCTGCTTCGTTGGATCGGCAGAAAACATTCCCTTGATTCGGTCGTAGCCTTCGCTTTCTGACATCGTGACATGTCGGTGGATAGCCGCGCGAACCTCCTCCCGAACGAGTGCCAGGCTCTTTTCCGACGATGCAATATCATGTATCTTCACATCTTGATCAAACTGCACACGGGGTCGCTTCTTGTTGGGAGGAACGGCTTCCGTCGCGTCATCTGCCTGGGACGAGGATGGGGAAGGGGGGAGGTCCATTTCGCTCATCTTGCGTTTCGAGCCGGCGACCACGGGAGGGGCTTTCGAGGTTTTGAGTATCGGGACTGGGGAAGATCCTGGAAGCATTTTGGATCGAGATATCGTGGGTGTGGGCGGTAGCGCCGGTTTGCGTGAAGTCGTGGCAAGGGAGACCATGGCCGAAAGTGAGGAAGAAGGGATGTAGGACAGGTTCTAGGCAGAAGCCAGTGTCGACATTTGCTTCTCTGCACTCTGGCAAAAATCAAATCCCGTTGACTTTGGATTCAATGTCGGAGCTTATCGAAGACGGGTCCAAGCACACGACACTTTGCACGTCGAGATCTTGGGGCTTATGCTACAGATTGGAATAGGAGGAAAGGGCAACAGGTCTGTCTGCATCCGTGGAAGTCCAGTTGCTTGAGATAGATAAAATCGGATGCAGACAGAATTGTCAAGTTGCTGAATCCAAAGCAAAGCAAAGCGAAATTTTTCCTTCTTTTCCTTCGGTCACTTGTGGAGCCCAGCGGAGCACCCGTGACCGTGTCGGTGAGCCCTACGCTATGCCTAATTAGGAAATATTGACTTATGTCATCGTGTGCTCAATGTCTGAATTACGTCCTATTGTTTTTCAACTTTGAAAGCTCTTTTGAACATGTCTGTTGGAATATGTTTGAGACCCCAGAATGAAATATCAATGAGACTCCCAAAAGGTCCCCTGACAGACCCCAAAATCCTCACAAGACTGTAAACTTCATGAAAGGGTCGTATGAAGCAGTTGGCCCCAAATGAAAAATAAATGAATGACGATAAAAGGAGACCGTCTATTACGGGAAGAAGAGAGTAAAATAGCAGCTATGAATTCAACAATTGGGATTGAGCGCGGGAAAAGGTCCTCCCATGGTATCGTGTAAAACAAGGGGCAATAGTCATAAAAGAAAGAATAATAGTTGGTCGTCATAACGGGTCAAGCGAGGAATATCCAGTCCTTGCAAGTCCGCAATCTCGTGTCGTTGATCGCCCCGGATCAACCGGGGTGGGGGCAGCGATTATGTTAGAGCCAAGATGTGGTCATAGGTCCACGTGTGTCCTCGAAAATGCTCCCGTACAGTTCTTCAACTTCCGCAAGATAATCTTCGACAGAGAACTTCTTGAGCCCCTTGGCATAGAGAATCCGCTCTTCATCATCGAGCATATTGAAGCCCCCAAATTCCTCCACGACCTCGTTCACCTGCTCTAGCTCTTTGCCGAATGGATGCGGCTCAGCCTGGAAGAATTCCTGCGATGCACGAATGGCCGGTGTGCTGCGCGCCGCGTTCAGCGGAGGCGGGGACATCCTAGAGACCGAACGCTTGTGAGCGAGCTCCTGGTGCGACCGCTTGGTGTGGGACAGAGCCCGCTTGGGCACCAGCGGAGCATCTGCAGCTGACGAAGACGTGGAGGAACGCGGGTGGCTTGTCACGGTGGCCGTGCGCTTCGGAAAATACGACGTCAATGGGTTTGGGTCAACGGGAGAGCTCTCGTAAGGAGAGACGTCGGGCGATGACATCGAAGACGCGTAGCTTTGCGGGGAGAAGGCAGCGTCGGAGTCGTCACGCGATCCTAGTGATGAGCCAGATGAAGAGCTGATATGATTGATATCGGGAGCGTCGTAGGCTAGCATGTTCGTCGTGGACAAAAGCTGGACCGGTCTAGAGATGTTGCTGCGCTTTATACTTGCCGAGTTGAGTCGCACATGTCCTTCGCCACGATAGGGCATGGGTGCGGACACTTCTGGGCGCTTATTGCGCCGGGTGAATGCTCTTGTGAGGGTCGACATGGCGGATTCGGAGATTTGGTCAAGTCCAAAATATGATAACGGTGCGTTTTGACACGGTCGGGAATTGATTTATAACTCTACACATGCAATGTGTGAGATTTTGTATTTTTTTTTTTGTATTTCTTTTTTTGGTATCTGGTCGCGCTTTGCGATCGGATCCGTAATTGAGTCTCGCGTGGTAAGCCGATCGCAGAAAGAATGTAAGATCAAATGGAATGTCCAGTATCAGATTGATCGATTGATAGATTGATCGTAGGTTGTGTTTCGAATTTCAAATTCTATTGCAAAGATGCAAAAATGAATGTCGAGTCCTCTTTTTGATTTTGCGCAGCAAAATGGAGAGGGGAATAACAGTCTCTTGTGTCAAGGAATGATGCACAGGTCAAGAATAAAATAGAAGAATAAAAAGGAGTCCAGGATCTCAGATCACTTTGTATCTAGGACAAAAAGAACAGAATAATAAGGAGAGAATGAAGGGACAAAGGCACACACAATCCCAAGGAGGTTGAAGAAAGAGAGAAGGGGGGGGTTCCTCCTTACGGGATTTGGGCGCTACACCAGCGTTTTCAGGTTGACCAGTAGCAGGACACCCCAAAGGATGTGGATGGAGCCCAACAGGAATTCACTTTAGGGTCTGGCTAGTTATCAGGGCCCAGTGTTCTCATAGAATGGTTCATCCAAACTTTTGTTATTTGCCTCTTTCTACGGTATTTCTACGGTATATGAACTACGCCTATTTAGTCGCATCTAGAATCTGGAAGGGGTACTGATCCGTATCCCCGAGTTGATTCCAGCCCTCCTCTAGGGTCATCTTCCAGGGTGTCGGATATGTGCCTGGGTATGGAGGGGTCATCGGGTAAACATGTACGTGTGTTCGACGTGTCCTATCTGCGCTGTCATTCCATATCAAACACCCTTGAAGTCTGCAGGTTCATGTGAATACCATCCCTCGTACAAAGTGACCTGTACAGCGTGATGCGATAATGTCCCGAGAAATAATATAATCGAAACGGATGCAGGTCCGGGCTCTTAGTCGGAAGGCACGGGCGTTTCACCAACCACTTGTATCCATTCTACGCTCAAAGTAGCCCGTGCCTGTGACCCGTTTGGCTCAAATTCAGCCAAGTAGAGGACCCAATCAGAGGGTTCAACTGGATGAACTCAGGTCAAGGGGTCTTGTTGCGGGCGCCTGCTGATCGAGTTCGGAGCGGTTAGAGAACTTCCAGATCACTGAGATGGTGTGTGGTGCTCGCTATCTGAGTGGACTGGGATTTTCGGTGGAGTATTGGTGTTTAAAGTCTTAAAAGCCTTCATCTTTGACTCCACCATGAAAATTGTGTGGGGTGGGGTGAAACCCGCTAGGGTCCAGCAAGATGATGTTGTCTGCCATGTACTCCGGATAATTGTACTATACTGTAAATCGTTCCTCGATGCTGAATTTGAACTTGGCTTTGATTCTACAACAAAGCTATTCTGATGTTTTGATCCTTTGAAAACAAGGTTCCAGAAAACACGTGGTGGGGGGATTACAAAAATGATAGCCTCAGGCATCAAGGCTCCCTGACTTAGCCTGTTACAGATAAGGAACCCAGGCTCCAAGATGTGCGACTTCCATATTATTGCGTTATGCGTGTTTAGAACACATCACTTCAAAAGTAAAGACTCGGGTTATTGTGTGACAGCTCCTCAGCTTTGCTCGACCCCGTCTCCACCCCAGCTCTTGCATCCGAAACACCCACAGCATCCTCGCCAGTTCTTCCATCTCGGGAACTATCTACAGACGGCAGGGGTTCGGGTTCCACCGCGACCTGGTGTCTAAAATAAACCGGCGAAACCAACACTCCAGGGTGGGGCTGACGAGAATCGTATGAACTCCCCGAACTTGTCCTATTGTCCCTGGGTGGCCATGCATATGAGACCACTCCAGAATGAGGCTTATCTCCCAAAGTCTGCTGTTCATCGTGAGTAGGAGTGATAGGAATCGCGTAGCTACGTCCCAATGTATCCGAAACCGCCTCACTTGGTCGCTCAATGGTAAACCGGCCGGACATGACTGTCAGCCAGCGCTCCATATCGGGCCATTCTCGAAGGGGCAGCTGAGACCACTCTTCCATGCGAGCTGCCTTGTTTTTGGGGCTAGTATCCGTCTTTGCCGGGGTTTGTACTGCTGTTGGTTGTCCCATTGAACGAATGGTCATCAAAGCCCCGTAAAGAGCTGACTCGGTCTCTGCCAGCCTCTCTTCCAATTGGTTCAAGTATCCCAACGGTAAGCCTCTGGGCCAATGAGTTAGTTGGTTTCCCGCGGGTACCTGTGGGCGCTGAGTACTTGCCTTTTAGCACTCTCGGGGTAGATGCATTTCGATGCTTCCCCGGCGCATTGGGAACAGAACGGACTTAACAAAATAAAATGCAAATAATTAGAAACGAGGCCAGCTATCGAATTAAACGGTGAGAACGTTTTTGGTCTTACAGTTTGCGGTCACACTATCCAGTTAGCACTTGTCCTGCTGTTACAAAAGAATAACATACTTTGCATTTGCGTTGTCTGCATAGCTCACAGGAAATCGGATTCAAGTTCTCTTCTGATGATATCTCGAGTCAGGCGATCTACACTTTTTTATGTGGGGTAATGTATTCTGGTCACACCTGACATGGTGACACCAGGTGCCTTCCGCTTCGATCGTAATTGCGCCATTTGTTGATTATGGGGTTATACAATGCAGAATGCAGTGCAATCCCCGAAGATATGGAAGATATCAGGCTACCAAAGTCATATGCATATAGGTAGGTGATGCTAGTTTATGAAAGCTTCGGACTAAGAAACCTCCGGCTATAATTGGCAGGCACGTGATGCTCGCTATATTTATCTGGAGACAACTATCCTCGCCACTCTTTATGCCTTATTCAAGATGATAGTTCGATAATAATTGTTGCAAGTCACGAAGTCAATAAAAAGATGCAATTTCTATCGAAAACACCTATATTAAGCAGAAACAAAGTTTTTCCAGGCTTTCTCGAAATGAAATCGGAATTGATACTGGGCATCCAAGTAAGGACCTACTCTGCTAATCGTAAAATCGTCAAACACTTAGGCAAACGCTCCGAATATTTTGTAAGTGACGTTTACTGTGCCGGATATCTACTTGCTGGTATTGGCAATAGATACAAGGGGTAATACTCGTAATATTATAGTAACATCTCATTAACTACTCTTTAATTTACCCTGCAAGCTTTACCATGCTGTCTTATGACCTCACCGACCCCAGATAGAGTGGACATACTCGCAAGTAATTTGGGCGGTGCGGGAGCAGGGCAGGTGGGGGAATATGTTTTCCACCCTGAATGTACCTTGCACTGATAGAACTGCGACATCTAGAAGGACATAGCTTGTTTTGGGACATATGGCTCCTCCAGGTATTGGACCTCCGCTTCCGTCAATGACACTTTCACAGCATCCACAGCCTGGTCGATCCTATCCACTGAATCCAAACCCAAGATCGGTGCTGCCCCGCGCTTGGATAAGACCCAAGCAGTCGCCACTTGCGCCATGCTAACTCCCTTTTTAGCTGCCACTTCTTGTACACGGCTTACAATAAGCTTGGCAGCCTGATCCTCCCCGTTGCGGAATAGTAACTTCAGAAAAACATCTTGTTCTTCGCGCTTATCGGAGCGGTCCGTCCAGGCATGAGCCAAAACACCGGCCGCAAGAGGCGACCAAGGCAATAGTCCAACACCGGTGGCGTGGCAGTAAGGAAACATTTCCCGCTCCTCCTCCCGGTAAAGGAGATTGTAGAATCCTTGCATTGAAATAAACTTGTGCCAGCCATTTTTCTCGGCAATGTTCTGGAGCATCTGGAATTCCCATGCAGCCATCTGGAGTACCCGTCTTGTCAGTTCCGATACCGTCTGTCAGAGAATGGAACGAAAAACATACCGAGCTTGCACCAATATATCGCACTTTGCCGCTCTCGACCACATCATTCAGCGCTTTCATGATTTCCTCCATTGGTGTGTCCCGGTCCAAGCGATGAATCTGGAGAACATCGATATACGTGCCTAAACGTTCAACGCTGCGCTCGACAGCATCAAAGATGTGTTTCCTGGAGAGACCAACGAGGTTGACATTATCGCCATCATTGACTCCAAAAGTGGCTGCATCCAACGGCCCGCGTGATTCATCGACACGGTGGAAACATTTGGACATGATCACCACGCGAGATCGCGGGATGTTGTACTTCTTCAATGCCTTGCCGAGAATCTCTTCGGAAACACCATTCGAGTACGTGTCTGCAACGTCCCAAGTGTTGATACCGCGATCATATGCATGCTTGATGAGAGGGAGGGCTTCCGCCTCCGCCGTCAACCAGGGCTGCCAGGCGGTGTCACCATAAGTCATACAACCGAGGACGATTTGCGAAATTTTCAGGCCAGAATTACCTAGTCTTCAAAAGGGTGAGTTGTTGTATAGCTCGATAGGAGTATGAATGATCTGAGAAATACACAGGACATACCTGACATAACCGACTTTGCTGTTAGATGCCATTGTGCGTTCAAATTGAGTGAGATGAGAGGTAGCCTGAACGATGCGACAGACTTCGGGAGAATATCACGGCATATTTATAACACAAACTGGATCGCCTGGAGGTAGAGAACACCGGAAATAAGAAGCTGAAGTCCAGTTCCTGTCAGCAATACGTCATCGTCACATTTCTGATATAATCGTTTCCTCCGTATTCTTGCACCGATCTTTTTTATGGTGAGAGAGTGGAAAGGTTGACATATGTTGTAGGTAAAATCCACCCCCTTTCCCGCGCTAATGCTGCAGCTGTCAGCACGATATCCACCCGGTGGGGAATTCCGATGTAGACTACTTGAGTTTATTGGTGGAATTATGTGGGGCATTGGAAGAACTCATGGACTACCCAAACTTAAAAGAAACTGACCAATGACACCAAGCAAATACGAAACTCACGTCCGGACGATGACGTGCACTATCCGTGGACGGTTAACCTACAGGGCTGTTTTTTAAGATTTCTACCGCCTTCGGTTCGTTGCCTCTCTTCCCAGGCTCCGCCTAGAACCACTATTGCTGCAGGTGTCATCGTCCTCAAACCTTGTCTTCTCCTCATCCCCAGCCCATTACTATCTCTATTTGGCCAGCTGAAATCGTGATGGATTCAACAGGGACCCCCCAGTCCTATTTCACGGCACATCCACTTTTCTTAAAGCCGGTAGAAAACCGCATTGCTGTTTGGCCCTCAGATGATTGGACCCGCATTACAGACCCGAAAGAACGAAGAAAGCTACAAAATCGGTTTAATCAGAGAGCCCGGCGTAAGTCCATCCACTCTATATCAATAAAAAGCCTTTGGTTTCTGGTTGTAACCCATTCCATCGATAGGGCGGCGCCAACGAACCGTCAACGCACACTCGTACAGCTTGGAACATCTAGGGGACCCACAGATAACCTATACCCCTACCAATCTCGATGACTTGAAATCCATCAACGGCCTTCAGATTCTTGGTCCGAATTCTGGACCCTCGATATGCACTATACGCCGTGTAGAAATGCTCATTTATGCCGAATATACCGCTAGATCGCCACGCACAGAGCTGCTTTTAGGCCTGACCCAATTGAATTTCCTGAGGGCGTTAATCACCAATATGAATGTTTTGCATTTATCACCGGCCCAGATGGATGACGAAGCTTTATCTCCGTTTAACCTTGTCGGCCCAAGGTACCCTGTATATCAAGACTCCACGTTGCCTTCGGCCTTGCAGCCAACTACCCTCCAACGCACAATCCCGCACCACCCCTGGCTTGACCTTCTGCCTATCCCAAAAATGCGGGACCGCCTGATATTAGCAGGAAACTCATTTGATGAAGTTCAACTTTGTCATGATCTGTGCGGGTATTGCAACTCAGGAACAGGGCAGACTGGAATGATCGTCTGGAAAGATCCGTGGGATCCCGCAGGCTGGGAGGTAACGGAAACGTTTCTGAGAATATGGGGCTGGGCCGTTCAAGGCAGCTGGGACTTGTTACAGTCTACAAATTACTGGCGAATGAAGCGTGGGGAAAAGCCTTTGTTCCTTCTACCTCCGGAAGCTGAAAGATCAACTTAATTCAGATAGTTCATTTTCTTGGATTATTACTGCTGCGGAATGTTTGCAAAAAAAAAAAACAAAAGAAAAGAAAAAGAAAAAGAGTCCATGAGCCAAGTAATTTGTAAAGAACTCACGCTGACGTTCAAATCATTTTTAATCTATAATATTCAGACTCCACACGGTTCCCAGAGATGTCGAAATAGTATGTGGATAACCATACGGAGTATAAATCTGACCATATGACTTGACAAGTGATGTCTTGGCAAATCAAGATTTAATATACAATATACATTGTAGTTATTATGTTCATATATCAAATGACAAATAACTCTTCATCTGCAGGTACACGGGAAGATCATCAGGTTAAACTTCCGCATTAGTCGCCAATTGTCCGTGTGACGCCCCTCTCCTAACCTTGCTTTTCAGCTCCTGCATATTGCCAATGAACCAACCCCCTCCCCGCCGGATCGCCTAATTAAAGTCACGATCGGTGATCCCATCGCGACCAGGTGAACGCCGAAGTGAAAATCCGGAACCCCTGGCAATATAGATGGTCCCATTGTGACATACGCGAACATTATATGTCTTTGTGCTTCCGCAGCCTTGGCCCTTTCCCCTCCCTCTCGTTAATAATTTGAAAGATGAAGGCGGGTTGGAATCCAATTGGATCTGCGATCTTGCTGGTTATATGCCTCCCTGCGGTCTGGGGACAGCAATGTTTAGATCATCCAGAGATGCACATCGGGAGCTCTGTAAAGACTAGCAGTGGGCTGGTTGAGGGGCACGCTGCACCTCGTAGGCCTGCAGTCTCTGAGTACCTGGGTATCCCCTATGCTTCGCCGCCAATTGGAGATCTTCGATTCGCGGCTCCAGTAGCTTATAATTCCAATGGCACCATTCAGGCAACTGCCTATGTGAGATCTCTCCCTGCGTTCTGTGGTGTATGTGGCTAATCGTATCACTAACAGAGCCCGTGCGTATATTATACCCTTACTATAATGATCCAGGTATCTGACCGTAATTAGTGATTGCCCTGCAAATGCTGGCTCGGTTCCAAAATACCCTGGTTTTACTCCACAGGCTCCCAAGATTGTCAAGTCGTTTACCCAGGCTCTGGGTACTTCCCAGAGTGAAGACTGCCTCTTCTTGAATGTATGGACCCGTCCCACGGTCTCCAAGTTAAAGCCAGTCCTGTTATGGTTCCATGGTGGTCGTATGTTTATCTCGACTCTTTTGTTCCCAAAAAATTGACATTTCTTGAAGGATTCACCGGAGGCGGCGCCAACAATCCATACTATGATGGACAAGCCTTGGCGGATGAGCATGAGGTGGTGGTGGTGACTATTAAGTCAGTACTCCCCATCCTGCATTTACAAGTCGTTACTAATTAATACCAGCTACCGATTGAATATCCTTGGTTTCTCCGGTGCACCCAATCTTCCTCAAAATGTCGGTCTGCTGGATCAACGTATGGCAGTGGAATGGGCCCATCGCAATATCGCCGCGTTTGGTGGAGATCCAAAGCGCATCTCAATCTTTGGTCAGTCTGCTGGTGGCTCTGCCGTTGACTATTATTCACAGGCTTGGGTAGACGAACCCCTTGTTGCCGGTTTCATCTCACACTTTGGGACATCACTCAGCTTTGTGCCCAACACTGCTGAAGAGTCCGCCGCTTACTTTTACACTGCTTCAAAGCTTCTCGGTTGTGGAGACCAAACCAATGACCCCAAAGAAGTTGTCAAGTGTGTTCGCCAGAAGCCGTACACCGACGTCGTCAAGGCTGGCGGCAAGGTCCCGCCAGCACCTTCACCAGCCACTCCACAAGCAGTGTTCCATCCGACAGTGGACGGAGTTACCGTGTTTGGCAACTACACCGAGAGATCTGCTGCAGGCAGATTCTCACGTCTGGTGAGTAAAAATCATATAGTTGAGCCTATCTTCAGAAAGATGCTAACATATCGCAGCCATATTTGATTAACAGCAATCATTACGAACCTGGGTACTACCGCATCAGTGCCTTTAACGCAAATATCTCCCTCAGTGATAAGGCATGGCAAAGTTTCAATGATGCGGCTTTCACTTGCCCTAGCGGTGCATCCGCCAGATATCGAGTTCACAACGGCGTTCCGGTCTGGCAGTCCCACTACTTCGGCGACTGGGACAACCTACGCCTGTATCCTAATAGTGGAAGCTACCACGGCGCCGACCTACCTATGGTGTTCGGAACTGGAGATCAGGTCAGTGGAATCCCAAACAGTGACCGAGAGAATGAATTTGCCCGGTACATGGCTTCTGCCTGGGTCGCATTTGCAAGCGATCCTCAAGAGGGCTTGACGAAGTTCGGATGGCCCCGATACAATCCTAATGGTAAGTTTCCAATCAATTTTTCCAACATACATATGTCTAACTATCCAACAGAGAAAACACTGGTTGGACTTGCCTACAAGGATGGCTACAATAGCCAGTTGCTTCGGCCTGAGGATGTCGAGCAGGGATGTGCTGCTTTGAAGGGGGATAGCACTCCCGGAAAGGGTGCATTTTAGAGAACCTTGGAAGTGTGAGACTTGTAGAAGTAAAAAATGATGTATATCCATGAAAAGATGTTTATATATTCGGTATAAAAACATTCTTTGGATTTTATAGATCTGGTGATGGGCCAGGGCACGCGCCTGCTGCTGACGTAATAGAGCCGGATTTCCTCCCAAGGAAACTTAACTTCGAATATCTCGGTTTCAAAAAATGTGATACATAAAATCACTGCGATAATGGCTTCGGCTTCACCTGCCAGCATCCGGTTCGAGGAGAATGAGTCTGAATGGCCGTATTCTTCTCGTGCAACCAAGAGACACAAGCGCACCTCCGTCGCGGGTACATTAGGACCCTCGCCTCGCGAGATTGGATTTATGAGAGAGTCTCAAAATGATGGATCTGCGAGCTTCCTCGGAAGTTCAAGTGGAATCCATTTTATCCGTCATGTTTACAATGCCTTCGCACGTCGTTCAGCACTCTTGGACCAAACACGAGCCCGTGACAGAACCTCGGTGCCAGGGGAAGACGACCGGCTACAGCAAAATTCAGGAAGCATTCAAAGCTCGGATGAGCTGTGGGCGAGGGAGGAATTGAACTATACACCAAGTATCTCATTTGCTTTCGACGATCTTGTTCAGTGGACACGCAGCTATTTCGAGAATTGGCATCCAATCTTCCCATGCCTCCACGCCCCGACAGTCTTGAAAACTATAGAGACAGTCGGTCAAAAAGGGATGGAGTCGGTCAGCCGATTAGAACTCATGATTCTTCGCTCTATTGTGTCCATTTCTCTCGGTGATTATCGACAGAGAACGTCGGCTGGATCGAAGCTCAATCCCGTTCCTTCGGTCTTAGTCTTTCGATCCATTCAACATGTGATGCAAGATGTGCAAAGCCTCCTTGAAGAGCCAACTAGTTTGCCACTGCTACAAGCAGCATTTACCGCTCAACTTGCACTCGCTTCTCTTTTGCGCCTGAATGCCGCCTCGCGGGTAGGGGGTGTCATCACCCGCACTGCATTCCACCTCGGGTTGCATCGTTGCCCAAGACGCTTTTCTTGCTTTAGCGGTGAAGAAGCTGATATTCGTTGTCGGTTATTCTGGTCAATATATTCACTTGAAAGATATCTTTCTCAGGCTCTTGGGATCCCGCTCTCTATTCGAGACGACGACATCGACGTGTGCTACCCTGATGCCGAGAGACATCCTTCAACAGTCAAGTCCCCCAATGATCACAGATTGCGCTTACTGTGTCATCTTGCAAGATTTGCACGGATTCGAGGTTTGATTGTTGAACTTCGTAATAAGTCCATTCTCCACAGTCACGCCAGCCAGGTTGAAGCGGCTCATGTTACTGGAGAACTAGCGCAATGGTGGAATGAAGTTTATGATGATGTCAACCCCATTTATGAGCCCTTAGAAGCTGGTCTAGAGCAAGAACCGATCTTGCAACCATACCACCGACTACTCTTGATGATCCTGAGACACGAAGCTATCATCTCGCTCAATCGACCTCTTTTGGCCTCTGAAAAGCCCAGTGCGGATTACAAGAACGCTTTGCAGACTTGTATTGGATCTTCTCGATCTATACTTGCTGCATTGAGAAAGCACATGTCCTCCGAACCGAAATCTCCGCTTTCCTGGCCATGCTTTACCTGGTCAACTTGGATGGCCTGCCTCATTCTAATGTATGCTGCGTGGGAAGAGGAATTTCCCGCGCCCACTGCTCTCAAATATGCGAGAATGGGGATTGTCATTTTGGAAAACCTATCATTACGCGGTAGCAGCTGGCCAGAGACCTGCATCGAGGCGATCAAAGGCATGGAATCTGCTTTCGAGACACAGACATCCAGTGGCCAGCAAGCCAAGACAACTGCCACATTTAACGGCGTCGGTAAATTAACTCAACCCCATGCCCAAGCTACACCATCGATGGATAAACGGATATCACAAATACTGCCTGTTCAAGGTGGAAATAATGAGATTGGTGATACAGGGCTCACACCAATCCGACCTCAAGTTTCAGCGCCGAATGGATATCCTGGTCGTCCAGTCTCCATTGGAATTCACCAGTTTCAATCACCAATTCGCTCTTCCCCCCAAGGCCTTGCCCCCGCAGAAAACTTCGACTCTGCCGTCTTTTCACCGTCTGACAACATCGGTAACTTCGCTGAAGCGCTAGACCCTGCTGAGAACCATCTTAGTGGACAGTCTTCAGCTGGTCTCATTTTCGGTAACATGGCTGACGGAAACCCTGCTTTTAATCCGAGTTTTGCCGGTCAAGACTCTTTGCCATTTTCATCACCTATGCTCATGAACGATTTATGGAGTGTAGCCGATGGCCCATGGATGATTCACAATAACTTCTTGTGATTTCCGATACATAATTTATAAAACGTATATTGTAATAACCAAGATCTGCACGAGAGATGTTCCCAACGCTTCCAATGTAGCTCACTAGTACAAATCAATATCAACTACTGTCCTATCCTGATCTAAAACAACTCGCAACTGGCCCTTATTATTGGCATTGGGTGCGCTCAACCCAAAAAATCCCCGTCTCAACTGGTCAAGATACAGTTCATAAGCTGGCATGTACCTCTTCACGAATTGGACAACCTGTTCATCCGTCATACTCTCGTTCGTCCGCGCGCGGAGAGCATGCTCCTGCTGCATCCGCCACCGATAAACATTTACCAGATCATCGGTATCCAAATGAACAAGAAAATCCAAGTGTTGCGGTCCCATGAAAAGATCGCAGTAACCGCGCAGCTGCGTGTTCACATCCAGCAAGTGTTCAACCGCATGATCTCTCAGTGTTTTCGTTGGATATTCCAATTCAGTATGCTTCTGTAAGCCTTCCTCCCATCGTTGTCGAACAGCCGTTTCCTGCAGTGGCTGGAATCCAATGCACCAGCCTTCAAAAACAACAACGTCAATTGCTGTTCCAGCTGGGACATGGTCCCAGCTCTCTTTGGGTGTCCTCCCGCCCTCGCCGTTGAACTTGCTCTTATCAAATGACGGGATAAGGATCTCCGAGCCGGCGCTTAAGCTTTCGAAGAAAGAGCGCGCAAGGGCCATGTCATGTGTTCCCGGCTGGCCTCGTGTTTGGACCAGTTTGTTAGATGGATTGGCCGTGCGAAGTTGGACAAGATCGTCGTGGTCAAGGTACAAGTCATCGAGTGACAAGTTTATTGTGTTGAAGCCGTGGCTTTGTCTTAGCTCTTTCACAATTGCATCGGTCCATGTTGATTTCCCGCTGCCTTGGAGGCCTGTCAAGCCTAGGATAAAGGGTCGTAGGGTTGTTGAGGCTGGCAACTGACATTGAATGTGGCGTTCAATATGGGGTAGAACATGGTTCAAGACGTTGTGCACTGCTTCATGGGAGACTGGCATTGTCGTCTGGTGTTTCTTTTGCAATTTCGATTTCAATTGCGGATTGGATTGATATTGGTTGGAAGCATCGAAGCTGGAGGGAATACACACTAATTCAACTTTAAACCTCGCAGTATTGATAAACTGGTGAACAGTTCCCAATGTTTACTACCTTAATTTACAATAATAATCCTTGGGATCCAGAAGCCGCTTCTCAACCGAGTTGTATGGAAGTCAGCGTTGTTCGCCACGAGGACATGTCTTTCTCCGAGTGGGGCGCTCTATATACCAAAATCCGGACATTCGAATCTCCGTTTGCACCCCGCGATAATTATAGTCGAATGAGCTCGCGATGAGGGGTTATGGGATAGGTTTATGGGAAGATTACAGGTGGAGACTAAAATCTAAGAATTTAAATCCAATTTCCTTTAAAGGCATCGTCTTCTGCTATCTCCCACCTTACTCACTCCGGACAAGAACTCTATCGCAATCATCATGTCTGCTCCAGTCGCTACCCAAAAGACCTATAGTATCGCCTCCATTCCAGCCGATGGAATTGGCCCAGAGGTCATCAATGCTGGTATCACCGCTCTGAACGCCCTGACCGATACCCTCAAAACTTTCAAGTTGGAGTTCAAGAACTATGATTGGAGCTCCGATACCTACAAGAAGACCGGCAAATACATTCCCGATGGTGGACTCGAGGAGCTCAAGAAGCACGACGCGATTTTCTTCGGTGCCGTCGGCGCTCCTGGTAGGCATATATAACCAATGCCTTAAAAACATGATACTAAACACGAGAACAGATGTTCCCGATCATATTTCCCTGTGGGGTCTGAGACTTGCCATCTGCCAGCCGTTCCAGCAGTACGCGAACGTGCGCCCAACACGTGTGTTCCGCGGCACCGAGTCCCCGCTGCGCAAGTGCGGGCCCAATGACCTTGACTGGGTCATCATCCGTGAGAACAGCGAGGGAGAGTATGCGGGTCAGGGTGGTCGTTCCCACGCAGGAAAGCCGTGGGAAGTCGCGACTGAAGTTTCTATCTTCTCCCGTCATGGTGTGGAGAGGATTATGCGATTCGCCTTTGAGACTGCTCAGAAGCGGCCCCGCAAGCTGTTGACTGTGGTTACTAAGAGTAATGCACAGCGTAACGGTATGGTTCTCTGGGATGAAGTGGCTAAGCTTGTTGCTGTTGATTTCCCCGATGTCACTGTGGATAAGATGCTTGTTGATGCCATGACTACCCGCATGGTTCTGAAGCCCGAGAGTCTGGATACTATCGTTGCTACTAACTTGGTGAGTTCCGAAATGAGAAATGATGAATAAATAGAATATGTGGACTGACGATCAACTAGCACGCTGATATTCTCTCTGATCTTGCTGCCTCTCTGGCTGGATCCATTGGTATCGCACCTACCTCTAACCTCGACCCTACAAGGGAGTACCCCAGTATGTTTGAGCCCATTCACGGCTCTGCTTTTGATATCACTGGCATGGGTATCTCCAACCCCGTGGCTACTTTCTGGACGGCTGCGGAGATGCTTGCTTGGCTCGGCGAGGAGGAGGCTTCTAAGCAGCTCTTGGTCTGTGTCGAGAATGTTTGTGAGCAGGGAGTTCTGACCCGTGACTTGGGTGGTGACGCCACGACAAAGCAGGTCACCGATGCAGTTGTGGCGGAGATCAAGAAGCTTGCTTAAGTTGTGTTCAGAGCAGATGAGGAATGAAATTGTATAAATTGAACAGAAATTTAAAAAATTGAGACCAAAAGCAGAAGGTTATGTTCCTGTAAAATGTATTTTTTGTATAACAGAACAGTGTACTTTTCTGTGTATAACCTTCGATATATATCGCTCGATCAATACTCGAGTCTCTCGTGATCGCCCATCTCGACCGCCTTTCAACCTCCATCAACCCTCAACAACCAACTACTCTCACAGAAATATTAGATGGAGCGCCCCTCCAAAAGAGCGAGAATCTTATTAGATTCCAGTGATAGCTCAGCGACTACACCTCTCACGTCTTTACACAGGGCCATTAGCCCACCATTGCCGCGAGGCTGCCCTGGACTGACTGATGGTAAATTGACTTCTGGCTCGGGGAGCACTGCTCGCCCTGCCCAATTGATCAATTCGCCAGTACAACTCTCACACATTCGAGATTTACCGGATGGTAATAATGTCGACGCTCTCCGACTACGCGACATTCTTGGGGATCCTATGATCCGCGAATGCTGGCAGTTTAACTACCTCTTTGATGTCGATTTTCTTATGTCACAGTTTGACGAAGATGTCCGTGGTCTTGTGCAAGTAAAGATCGTGCATGGATCGTGGCGAAAGGAGGATACGAATCGGATTCGAATTGAGGTAATTTTTCACTGACAAGACTTTTTCCATTGGGTTGATTTCATCTGTTTGACTCATCTCATCACTTATCAAGAGTTCGAAGTAGCGTGATACTAATCTGCTACTAGGAAGCCTGTTCGCAATATGCTAATGTTGAGCCCATTGTGGCCTACATGCCGGAGCCTTTCGGGACACATCATTCCAAGATGATGATTCTTCTTCGGCATGATGATCTAGCTCAGTAAGATTATTCCCGACATTAATGATCCCTATAGCTCGACACAGATCTGACTGAATAATCAAACAGGGTTATCATCCACACAGCAAACATGATCCATATGGATTGGACCAACATGACACAAGCCGTCTGGCGCTCTCCACTGCTTCCCCTGCAGAAGGCAAACCCGGCAGGTTCTCAAACAGACGCCAAACTTGGCTCGGGCGCACGGTTCAAAAGAGACATTCTCGCTTATCTGAAAGCGTATGGACCTAAAAAGACTGGCCCGCTAGTCCAGCAACTGGATAGCTATGACTTCAGCTCTATTCGCGCTGCCCTCATTGCCAGCGTCCCGTCCAAACAACACGCCAGTGACTCCAGCTCAGAAGAAGGTACACTATGGGGCTGGCCGGCTCTGAAAGACTTGATGCGCCAAATACCCATCCACCAGAAGAACAAAGGCAAGAAACCACACATAGTAATCCAGGTACGTATCTCGAAACAACCCACCACGCTGTCACAAATAACAAACCACCAACAAATCCAAGATCTCATCGGTAGCAACCCTCGGCCAAACAAACAAATGGCTCAAAGACGTCTTCTTCAAAGCCCTCACCCCCACCAAGACCACACAACCATCAACCTACTCAATAATCTTCCCAACCCCAGACGAGATCCGCCGCTCCTTAAACGGCTACAACTCCGGCGGCTCAATCCACATGAAAACCCAAAGTGCAGCTCAACAGAAGCAAATCCAATATATGCGTCCGCATCTCTGTCAATGGGCGGGCGACTCGCTCCCCCCAGGCCAATGCATCGACCTATCCGAAGACAATCCCCCAAAGCGCGAAGCAGGCCGTGCCCGTGCAGCACCACATATCAAGACTTACATCCGCTTCGCGGACTCGGATATGAAGACTATTGACTGGGCAATGGTGTCGTCGGCGAATCTGTCCACGCAGGCGTGGGGCGCGGCGACGAATGCCAGTGGCGAGGTGCGCATTTGTAGCTGGGAGATTGGGGTTGTTGTTTGGCCAGATCTTTTTCGAGATGAGGATTGTGGCGATGCTAAATCTCCATCTGCACGTGGATCTGAATCCCGAGCGGAAAGGGAATCCCGTGCGCCGGACGCGCTGATGGTTCCTTGCTTTAAGCGGGATCGCCCTGCTGTGACCGAGGAAGCCGAGACGGCTTCTGTGGTCGTCGCGTTCCGGATGCCTTATGATCTTCCGTTGACGCCGTATGGTGCGGGCGATGAGCCATGGTGCGCGACTGCTTCGCATACTCTGCCGGACTGGCAGGGCCAGAGCTGGATTGTTTGAGTCTGCTGTCTTTGCATTTAGTGTATTGGCTATATCTGGTGGTTTTTCGTCTCAGCAGTTCACGCGTGAGTCGCGTTGTTATTTCAGTATATATTATATAGGATTGTCAGGTACGCGAGTATTGGGCCATGGAAAGTAGCATGCATTTGTCTTCGTTTATTCATCCCGAGAATTTTGAGACGATACGATTATCTCTTCTCTTTAGATAACCGTCTTTCCAAAATCTCACCCGACAATATATCCCTTTCGATAGATCGCGAGTTCATTCTCCAAGACCAGTTCTCCCAATTATATCATCTATTCGTCGCGGGTGCCGTACTTGGCAATGAAGGTGTTGACGTGGCCGATGTAGAGCTGGTGGGCCTTAGCGGGGCTGTAGTCCTTGACCTTCTCCCAGGCACCGTAGAGTTGCTTCTTCTGTATTGTTGCAAAGAATGAATGGTCAGCTACCGGTCTTCTTCCAAACGAACGTGCTATAGTCCGGAGCTTTCCCGAGCTCGCAATGAATGTAATATTGAACGTACCTGGATATCGAACATGCCGGGCTTCTCCATAACATCACCCTTGCCAACCTTGAAGTAGATGTAGAGGTCCTTCTTTTCCAAAAGACCGGGGGCGGTCTTCAGCATCATAACAGCCTTCGCGGCGAACTCGAAAGCCTTGCGGAGGGTCTCGGCCTCGGTGGCATCATCGAGTTTCTCGAACTCGCCCTGCTCGGCGACCTTCTCGAAGATGTCCTTCAGAGCTGCAATGTCGATGCCGGCGGCGGCTTCTTGGACCTCGGGAGTGAACTTCTCTTTCTTCTGAGCAGCCTCCAGGACGGTGAGGAAGGGGGTGATGTCGGACATTTTGAATTTGAGGATGTTTTGTTATTGAATATGAGGAGAGGTAAAAGTCAAGAGCTGAGAATTTATATGGTTGGGATGTTGGAGATGGTTGAGGGCGGGGTCAGCCGGCATAGGTGGGGGTCGCTGACACACTCGCCAGTTGATTCTGAGCCACGAGGATTGTATAAAAAGGTACGTTAGTTATAGGTATACAGGTTATGTATTTAGCAAGATAGCTTTAGAGTAAACCCAAATTGTCTTAACATATTCAGTTCTTAATTCAAAAAGATCATATTATTTCAAGAACCACGCCAACAGATGTATGTCCACATGCAACCGCTGTGGAAATCACTCGCTATGCACCAGAAAAAGACACGAGAAGTAAATTCCGGGGGCAATCTACAAATTCCAAGAGAGAGCGCGATCACCAGTCCACGGCCCATCCATTGTTCTTAAGGAATTCCTCACAAGCAGCCTTGAGAGCATAATTGTTCCGCAGGTCATGGACACTGATAGGAGCCCGAGTCAAAGGATCGACGCCCGACTTCTCAACATACTTAGTGATGCCCAATCGATCGAAACTGGCCCCAGACGGTGTAATAACCGGATCATGCATGATCTCAAATGTGATACCATCAATGAGATAGTCAGGAACAACCTAGAATCAACGTCCAGTCAATAAACAACCCACCACCCCAAAACAAGTTGGAAAAAAAAAAACATACCCTTTCCTGAACCTCCCCCTTAGAAGCAACTCGAAACGCCTCCCTCAAGTTCCTAATCTTAGTCTCGGCATCCTCGCGCAACGCCTTCTGATCCTCCCCATACCCAATCTCCCCAATCTCCCCGCGCTCCAATTGACCCTGCAATTCCGCCAGCGCACGCGTCACATCGGCGTCAACGAGCGCCTCCACAGAACCGAGAGTCTCATTCAGCTCGCGCACGCGAGACGTCTCGCGCGCAGCCCAGAGCTGCTGTTTCGCGCGAAGGACTATCTGCGACAGGTTCACCGATTGGGCATTTTTCGCTGCGAGACTCTGTTTGTACGCGTCGGACGCGACGTCGTGTGCTTCCTGTGGGCGCTGGAGGGCCAGGAGGGCTTGGGCGAGGTAGTAGTGGCTCTTTAGGGCGGCGGGGTTCTTAAGGCCGTAGATTTCGATTGCGGCGCGGGCGTCATGTTCGACGTCGGCCCATTTGGCCAGGTGGATTCGGGTTACCGCGCGGTTTGTGAAGAAGGTCGCATCTTTCGGGTTCTTTTGGATTCTATTTAATGGGGGAAGTTGTTAGTTTGGGGATATTTGAATGATGAGGTTTGCGACTTTTGAGTTGAGGAGTGAACTGCGGGCGGATAGCTCGGAGGCGTCGGATGTGATAGCTTACGCTTGGGAGTAAAAGTCTTCAGCACCACTGTAGTCACCAGATTTGTAGAGCTCATTGCCCTTGGCTTTGAGTTCTTGCGCCATGGTCTATGTGTGAGTGAGGCCGTTGGTTTCTCGTGCTGATCTGTTCCCCAATGTGGGGCGGTCCACCATATAAAGTCAAGAGTGATAGGAGTGGATATTGCAGTAGTTCATGAAAACTGGTTTAAGGGCATTTGATCTGCAATTACTGCGTCAGTTATGTCAGTTATGTTAGTACTTTTGTGGATATCTTTGTGAGTTCAAATAAATCGCATGAACCAACTCCTCAGGTACATATGGAAACTCATAGAATCCCTGCGGAAGTTCTGAGTCAGCTCAATTGGTGCACTGCACAGTCCCAGAGGGTATAGCTACTCTTCTACAGAATTTGTTCGGCATGGATTGGACTGTAGTTATTTCATTCACTATATACATATCTATGTAACCTTCTAATCCAAAATCTGGGAGCGGAAGTAACATTTGGTTCGTGGTATCATGCGCTGTGAGAAACTAAGAAAGACATAACAATCGTGCAGACAAGTCGATAAAACTTGACAAGTCATGCTCTGTCAGGGAAGGCAAGGATGGCGACAATACCAGGGGGATTCTCAAGACGTCTCATGTGTTTCGGGTGTCAAGCGAGAAGGCAAGGATGAATATCAAGAAGATTCTCAAGGCATCCAAGTGTTACGGACGGCAAATGAGACATGACGAGACGAAGAACAAAGACAAGAGTTCTAGGCAGCAGTGCGGAATTGGATCTCATAGTCCGTAATAGCCTGGACCTTGGCAGCAGAAGCAGACTTGGGGTCGAAGCGGTAGTTGAGCCAGTCTGTAGCGAGCTTCTTGGCCAATTCGACACCGATCACACGCTGACCCATGCACAGAACCTGAGCATCGTTGCTCAGGATGGAGCGCTCAACGGAGAAGGGGTCATGGGCAGTCACAGCTCGGATACCGGGGACCTTGTTTGCGGCGATGGCAACACCCAGACCAGTGCCGCAAATGAAGAGGCCACGATCAGCCTTGCCATCCTTGATGAGCTTGGCACCCTCGACAGCAGGGTGAGGATAGGCAGTCTTATCGGAGGATGAGTTGACACCGACATCGATGATCTCGGCGACAAGAGGGTTCTTCTCGAGAGTGGCCTTGATGGCATCCTTGTATGGGACACCGGCCTCGTCACAGGCCATGACAATGCGGAAGGGAGTAGACATGATGGGAGGTATGGATACGAGGATGAAGAATGTACAAATAATAGTATGAATTGAATCGAGTAGATAATAAAGATAGAGAGAGAGATTGGTTTGATGTTTGATACAGAAAAAGAAATCCTGATTTGAGAGTACACAAAGGGGGTCTTTATATCTTTTTACTCCTTCCCCTCTCTGTCCTTTATAGCCGTGCAACCAAACCTAGGTTCAGCCAATCCTTGCATTTGATGGAATCATCTACAGCCGTTCTCCACTGGGAAACTGGAATGGCCTGGTTCCCTTGATATTACGCGTATTTCCAGCGTCCGGGGTGGCATCATAGCACCCAACGATGGGTTATGAGTGGTCAGCGCCAGAAGGAGGTTAAACCGAGGTCGGATACTTTAGGAGCCTTGTTTTGGACCATACATGCATCTTACCTCGTATTACACGGGATGTTTCATTAAACCTCGCCGGCGCTGCCTTGGACCACGCCCCTCAGGCTTCATATTCTGCCACACTCAAGCCATCGATGTCAGTGGTGAACACAACTTACAAGATAAGACGGGGCAAGACGGGCAAGACGGCTGTGGCTTTTTACACGGACGTGGCTGTTCAACTTTCCTCTTAAATATTGGTGCCTCGAGGCCAAGGATCGGGGAGTCTTGGTTTCATCTTTTTTTTTTCCCGACGGGAGGATTGGTTTCGGTGGCTTAAGGCCTGGGCACCTCGTATATTGAGGAATACATGGCTATGGCCCCAGCCGCATGTCACCGGGAAAGACAGGATTTGTCGCAATTGACCTCATAACCGGGAACTAAGTTTCTAAACCGGGAACCAAGTTCAATGCCATTCTAAAAAACCCGGCAGGATAGATAATAGAACCCCGGGGATATTCATAACATGTGAATTGCCTCATAACTTAATTTTTCAAATTTCCCAAACTTCCCAAACTTCCCAAAGATCGAATGGAATCGAAGTACAAAGTACGTCCCTAAACCCCATACTTGCAAGGTTGCGTACTCCACTTTCCCACTGTCTCACCCCACCGTCTCCAATGTTGTTGGCTGTCAACTTAGTCCGGTCCTCCGGGTTGTACTATTGTAACAATATACTCCAGATTTTCCTTTGGATCTGCACTATAGAATATTGTACATAGTCCTAATCATACTATAATACATACGAATATAATAGACACAGAAGATAACACATTAGAATATACGGGATGTACGCGAAAGGCCAAAGCGTAATACAGTATCGGAATACATACATAGTTCCACTCTACTATATCCGGGGTACTTGATACTACTTGATGCTACATTGGCTTGGCCTATTATAGACTTATCAACATTCATTGGACTGCGGCATTGAGTACTCCGAATGATTACTTTTGCTAAACCCTGTCTGGGCCGATGTGACATCACATATATAGGCGGCACTATAGACTTGTATACCCCTCTCATACCATTCCATTGTACACTAAGCCTGATGGGACAATCGGAACGTCTAGCGCAGAAATGCCGCTAATGCAGCGCATTGACAGGGAATTACCTTCATTGTCGAACTTGGATCCCTTCGCTTTCACTTTCCAACCTTTTCCGAGATTCCCCAATCATATATCCACCGGGAACGCTAAGCACAACCCCCCTACCTAAGACCACACTAGACCTAGACAAAACACACACCTTCCACAACACCCATCGCCTATCGCCCATCACCCATCACCCATCACCATGGCGTCCTACCCAATCCTCCCGGAAAAGCTCCTTCTCATCTCCTTAAAGATGTACTTCACCCCAGACCGCACACTCACCTACCTCCGCGACCTCCTCAACCCAACCAACGAGATCGTCCACCCCGCAAATAAAGACAAACTCCTCCTAGCTCTAATCCCCGACTTCCTAACAATCTGGCCCTGCGCCCAAATACTCAAAGAATATGAAACCAATCTAGCCACCACCGGAACTCCCAATTCCGCACCCCCCTTCCTCCTCGGCGCACAAGACTGTTTCTGGGAATCCCAAGGCGCATACACAGGCGAAGTCTCCCCAGCCTCAATCCGCGCACTAGGCTGCTCAATCGTCGAACTAGGCCACGCCGAGCGCCGCGCCATCTTTAACGAAACAGACGACCAAACCGCCCGAAAAGCAGCCGCAACATGCGCACAGCGTATGGTCCCACTCGTCTGTATCGGCGAGGTGACGGCTCCCGGCCCAATCGCCTCCGAAGCCGTCGGCCAGGCTGTGACGGAGTGCGCGGTGCTGGTGCGCGCAGTCCTGGCTGCTATCCCCGATGACGCGCCCGTTATCTTCGCGTATGAGCCGGTTTGGGCTATTGGCCAACCGAAGCCGGCGGGTGTTGATCACGTTGCTGCTGTTGTGCAGGGTATTCGTGCCGTTATTGGTCCCCGGTCTGGGACGGCGCGGGTCTTGTATGGGGGTAGTGCGGGGCCTGGTCTTTGGGGGACTGGTGGGCTTGGTCGCGCGGTTGATGGGATGTTTTTGGGCAGGTTTGCGCATCTGATTGAGGGTGTGCGGGAGGTTGTTCGTGAAGTGGAGGAGACGCTGGCTCTGGTGTGATGATGCGTATTGGTTGTGTTGGATGATGGCTTTGTATGCCACATGCACATACACTAGTACGCATCTCAGGTATTGTCCTTGATTCGACACCTTGACACCTTGACACCTTGACACTCTATAACTATGTGTCTACAATTATACAGGTATATGGTATGGTGTTTCGCACTATACGGTTCCTCGTCATTGTTATACGGAATAATACATAACACGACTTAAACAGAAAAGGACAAAAAGACAGATCTAGACACAAAGTCCTGGGATAAAAACAGAAAAGTGGGAATGGTCATCTCACCCGAGTCGGGAAGCCTATCTGGGGGAACCCGAACCCAGTGGAGAACTTCCCCGGTTTTTTCTTCTGTGAACCTGTCACGCGGTGGATCAGAGATTTACCTCAGATGACTTTTAAAGCTTTTTTTTTTTAGCTTCGACTTCTTCAATAGGTCCTTCGATGTCGTGAAGCTATCTTTTCCGTGATCCACTTCCGTGCTTAGGTGGGTTCGTTGTGGATTCTGGATCTCCATTTTGCACTGATCGAGTATTCCGAGCTGTTGATAACTATACATCTCTCGCAGTGTGTCAATACTTACCGACATTGATCAATTCTCCCCTTTTTTTTCATTTCTTTTCGGTACTGCCTGACTCGGCCGTTCCATTGTACCCATGGATATAATTAATCCCTGTCAGGTGTCTACTAATGTGTCGATCTCTCGGACGAGAAACCAACGCGGAAAAAATGGGAAATATTACTTTCCTTGTTCATATCCATGTTATTTACAGGATCTATCAAAGACCGAATGAGAATTAAAAAAAAATGATAAAAAGCATAGTTCACACCGCTTATTTCTTCTGCAGCTCCTCACGCAGCTCCTGCTTGACACGCGTGACAGTGCCAACGCCACCGTAGACAACACCAGTGTACATCATAGCGACCGAAGCGCCGGCCTTGAGAGCCTCGCGCGCCTCCTTACCGGTAGTGATACCGCCGGAAGCGAAGATAACCTTGCGGGGAAGGTTAGACACCTCAACAGACTTCTCCGAGTCGGTCGCAGACGGAGGTCCCTGGTCAAGCAGGGCGCGGTACCGGGCGACAAGCGCAACGGAGCGGTCAAACAGCTGAGGGCCGGAGTAACCACCGGTTTCCTTCAGAGTCTTCTGTTCCTCGGCGGGGAGGACGAAGCCCTGGGGCACGGGGTCGGGCCGACGGTTGGTGGTGTTACCGACGATGACACCGTCGACACCGGAGTTCCAGACAGCCTCGCAGATACCGGAGATCTGCTCGTTGGAGTCCTCATCCGGGCTGACCTTGACCATCACGTAGGGCTTAGTCTTGCGCTCGACGTTCTTGGCGGAGGTGACGACCGCAGTCAGGATTGCTGTGAGGGGTGCGGCGGCTTGGAGGTCGCGCAGGCCTGGGGTGTTGGGGCTGGAAACATTCACGACGAGGATGTCGGCGTACGGTGCCACCCGGTCCACGCAGTAGACGTAGTCGCGCTTAATGGCTTCGATGTCTCCGTCGGGGGTGAGTTTGTTCTTGGCAACTTGCACGGCGAGAAGCTTGCCAGGGACCAGACTTCCAGGTGGCACGTTGGCGTCGCCGTCCAAGACGCGCTGTTCGGATTGTTCATGCATGCCGAATCCGGCAGCATAGGCGAAGTCAGCTACGCGCTGCTTCAGAACCTTGGCCATGTGGTCGGCGCCCTTGGAGTTGAGACCGTAGCGGTTGATCATGGCGTGTTGCGAGGGCAGTCGAAACACTCGAGGCTTGGGGTTTCCTTCCTGCGGCAGAGGGGTGGTGCCGCCGACCTCCACGATGGCGGGACCGATGTCGAACAGCGCATCGGGGACCTCGGCGTGCTTGTCCAGACCGGCGGAGATACCGATGGGGTTGGAGATGGTGTATCCAAAGACCTGGTAACGGATCTCGTTAGCGATTGGCTACCGGCCGATTTGGGAATGCCATTACCTCAGTTGCCAGGGCATCATCACGATCCGGCTCCCCACGCTCGCGCGGGTGAAGGCCATACTGGTAGAGCATCTTCAGGTTCTCCACGCCAATGTGGTGTGCATCCTCCGCATCGGGCCACAGGAGTCGGATCAAGGGCACAACTCCGTATCTGTGGATACTGGCTCTGGTGTCGGTTCCATAGATGTAGCCCACCAGCAGGGTCAAGGCCAACGAGGCACCGTACAGGGCCTTCTTAGAGCCACGGCCCGCTTTGCGGGGGATCTCCTTGGTGGCCTCCTTTGTAGCATCCTTCACTGTCTCCTTGGCTGCCTCGGCAGGTGCAGATGCAGCCGAGTCTGAAGCACATCGCGAAGCACCGGGGTAGTGATGGGCCCACTTCGGTGCCACTGCCGACGGCCGTTGGGTCAAGCGGGAGGTAGGAAGAGCGCGAGCCCGGATGCTGGCTCTCCAGGCCATTGTTGCGGAGTTACAAGCCATTTTGATTGTGTGGAGCTAATTATATTCGCCGGCGGAGCAACGCCCGATCGAACCTATACGGCGGTTAGTACTTGCGATCGATAGTGGGTTGTGACTGGGGCCATGGAGCTAGTTGAGCTCCAATCGACTCGCATTGTGGACTAGCCAATTGGAATAGTACATACAAATCAATATGCACCTAATAAATCACTTACAACTGCAATTGAGCACGATCCGAGGTTCTCGCACGTCCCTTGCAGTTCTCGAGGGCGGATTCGGGTTCTTTGCTGCACAATCCGGGCGGTGGCAATAAGGCAGGCAGAATCTCTAGGGCGGTAGCCTTACATTGCTACATTGTTCGATGTTCACTTATGTACTTCGTCTTCTTTGCTTTCAATTATGATTTTAGTGCTTTTTGGTGGTTGCAAACCTGCTTCGGAATATATTTCCTCTCTATATCCCGAAGAATATCTACGCTTTATATGCAGAATGAATGTAATATTTTGACCGACGATCTTCTCTTCGATGATCACAAGCTCGTATCGGGCAACGCTGTTGGCTATGACCAATTTGCCTTCTACCTCCCACATATTGCGAACCCTTTAGCTTGCCCATGTATTTGAACGGAAACCCGTTGTTTATCTACGGTGCTTAACAATCAAGATCGCATGCCAAAAATCCTATCTAGGATGAGAACGCAAGGAAAAACAACCAACTCTTCAGCGGTGGGATTTGATCATGTCTATTTCGACGAGGAGGATGATTCCCCTGCTCAGGAACACACACTCTCGCAGCGAGATTTCACGAATGCTATACGGCAAGCGGTGACTGCAAAGGAGCCCTACCGTTCATTCAACGTCTTCAAAGATGTATGTTAGCAGCCCGGTTATAGATGCATTGATGTTTCCCAAACACTTGTAAATCGAAATTTATACTCATCAATTCATGCAGGTAGCACTCGGTACAAATGCCTTCAGCTTTTGCCTTCAAGTTCACCCTTCTGGGGGACTTGCTCAATCTCCAAGCCCAGTATATCACACCTTGCGCATTCCTTGGTACCGCCAAGGCCTCTATCTGCCAGCTTCGTTTGATCTTTACTCTGGTGGCAATGTCGTGCGCAGCCGGAAGGACCCGTCTCCCGAGCCTCAAGACCACCGCGCGCACATTCACTACCGTGGCTTTGAGGGTCTGCTAAGTCTCCATGTGACGGTAGACATCTTCCGCCGAGTAGATTCTAATGCCCTCCAAAATGGGCTTTCGAGCTCTGGGGAAAATTCCCCGGATCTTGTTAAGCACTGCTCGGTGGACATTGTTCGGAAGGGAATTGGTAGGACTTACCGTGTTGGGATTACTGGTGGCGAAGCTGTCAAAACATTCTACTGGAAAGGGTCCAAAACTGCGTTGACTCTCCTTGGAACTGAAGGGAAGAGCGCGGGTTCTAGTGATGGGAACGGCAACCTCAAGTTCTTTTCTGCGGAAAAACCAGATGATATTCTAGCTGTGTGGCAGAATAGAACTGATCGACAAATTCTGGGTTCTTTGAACGTTCTCGCTGAGCTTGATGCTGATTCGGATGGGGTTCTTGAAGGCTTGATGGTGAGTTGCCTGGCAGTGGTTATTGCAGAAAGGGTTTCCGGGCGAGGGTGGATAGGTGGCCTGGGGAAGTCAAGAAGCTCTTAAGGATGAAGTCGAATGTGATCACACGGGAGAGCCATAAGAGCCAATGTATATAATGAGCTGCTATCTGCTATATATTGAATTGACTGTACCTCCACGTAGCGAAGGACCTAGAATGGTATTTTCCCTCGGAGGGCAGTGTTTACCTCCGTTGACCGCAGTAAACAGTCTAGTACAGTCCTCCAAATCGCAATGGGTAGAAAAGCTGCCATCCCATACATGCAATCAGTATCTGGCATAGTTTATTTGTGATTGAGTCTGGGAATGAGATGTTGTCTGCTGATTTAGCAACCATAGAAAAAAAGCTAAGACCAAATACCAAATAATCCTCAAAGAGGAGAAAAACACGATGAAATGCAATAGATGATAAAAAATACATATGTACCAGGCAATGCTGCCATAACCTTAATCAAACAGGGGAAAAGACTAGAATTGACGGTAAGCATATCTTCACAATATATGGTGTGCTGGTGAGCGTTCACAGTTTCGTTGCCTATTAACACAAATTCGGTAGCTCCACTGCTGTCAACGCAATGCCCATCCGACATTCTTCGCCAGATTATTCTAGATGAAAGATCAACATTCCACATTATAAAGTCTCATCAAGCTCCATCCCGTGAGAACAGGCTTTGATTATTGAGGGTTAGGAAAGTCTCGCCGAACTGCACATGCCAGGGCATTCATGTCGCCAATTCAACAGGTGGGGACTTCCGGTGCTCTGAACCTGGTAGCTCTGCAATGCTTTGACCGCTCAGTTCTGTGATCTGATTACTACCACTCAACTCCGATGCAGGGCCTGGGGGAGGTTGGATGGATTGGCTATCTTGAGGGTGCTTCTTTCGGCGACGGAATAAACACCAGGCCAGCCCAATCAAGATGATGACACCGGCTATACCACCAACCACACCACCTGCGATTGCCCCGGTGTTAGAGTGAGAAGTGTCGGTATTTGCGTTGTTCGAGGAGGTGGAAGTTGCGGTAATTGTCCCTGATGTCGACGAGGAGAGTGTCGTAGTCGTGGCAATATCTATGAAATGGTGCGTCAGATTGAGAGAAAAGATAACGATGCACCATGTTCACAGTGTTTGGATCTTTGACGATCATTAGGGACAAGGCTTACTCGAGCTTGTAGAGGCAGGTAGAGTATATTGGACAATTGCTTTCATTGTCTTCACTTCCACACCGAGGTCGTTCATGTCTTCTGCTTTTGCGCAGGCCGCATAATTTCTGCTGACTGTATAAAGCCCTCGAGTATCATTTGCGCAGCAGAAATAACCCTCGGTCTTTTCAACAAAGTAGAGATCCGCTGTAGGGTCTGCACAGCGCCATTTATTATCTAACGCGGCCTTGCAATTCTTCGTAGTTGGACAGCATATCCCTGGGCTGTTTGGTTGAGCAGGGCATTCGGTATTTCCCGGACAACATCTTCGAAATGAGTCCCAGGTCTTACCACAATCTGTCTCACCCCCCGCGCATGAGCCATTTCGGCGCATGGAGTAGCCCTCGAGATATTCGTCTGTTGACATTTTAAAGACCAAATATTAATCCTGACTTGCGGGACAAAATGAATGGTCAATAGGAGAATGGGTCTGCAGTCGATCGAGTGGTCACAGCGAGGAACGAGAACCTTTTAAGCGACTATCTTGGAAGGATCAATGCACATCAAATTTACACTCTGGCCCCCGGTGGGGACCACTCTACGAAGCGGCTGACATACTACAAAAGGGGCAACGGAAGGAGGGGAAATTGTGAAGCATGCACATATCAGAAATTTCCTAAAATCTGTGCCTATGACCGTTTAGCTATAACAGGAATATCTTGAAACCTACGGAATAGCCAAGTTAGTTGTGGTCATAGAACTGAACCCTGAACGCCAAGCGCTAGTGTCAACATGGATTAGCCTTGGCGCTGCTAAATACGATGCGGAAAAAGTGGCTGTGCCTCTGTATGTTGGAGAGACTGTTTATGATCTCCGTCTCATAATATAATTGATCCGAGACACTCATTGCTGTCCGAATGCAATCAAATTCAATCTGAGATGGCTAAATGAGGCTTGTGGAAGAGCCACAGAGTATAGCGGTAAGAAGAACAACCCATCCTTACCGGAATACCTTGGTTAGTTGTACTTTGTGACAGAAAACGCTCTTGCAGCATAGTTGCATACGAGTCTAAGCCCAGGATAGGATCATATTATGTCTGATTTCAAGCGAGGAGCTTGAACTAGCGTCCAATGTAGCCATTTCCGGCAGCCGATTTATTATCAATTAACGCTGTGGTGTAATAACTCTTTTTTTCTGTTCATTCTATTGGGTCTCTTCGACGTGTGAAAGCTTTTCCGATATACTAAATATAGGTTTCCCAGCCATGCTAGCCACCACAATCTAATATGATGAAAGTGGGGTACAAGCATGCCCTTATAAAATAATATCTCTAACCATCTTATTTTTACTTCGGTTCATAATCTGTAGAACCTTTGATAGTAGTAGTCGTTATAGTCCGCTTAGGGTATGTGCATCATACATGGATATTGTGCGGCCGACTCCAAAGACTCAACGTTAGGAAAGCAATAACTTTGGAACCAATGTTTCTTTTTTCGGCTCCCTATTCATTCACCTTGAATTGCTTTATTCTTCTTTTACTTTTTGATTTTGTAGTTGAACGGCCTAATACTACAATGAATACATAGCACACTAAGTATAGAAATAGTAATATTTTCTTCACTGCCAAGGCAAAAATATTTTAAACCCCTAGAGTATGCCAGCTATCGCACCTATTGGGGGATTCTCAGCACCACTCTGCCATCAATCTCCGAGCGCTCTAGGCGGTCCAACACATCATTGATATCGTCCAGTTCAAAGACGTCAATATGCGCCTTCACATCCCCAGTCACCGCCATAGCTAGCATTTCATCCATCTCATCCGCTGTTCCTGCGGAGTTTCCGACAATAGTAAGACCTATATCGGTTGGTCAGCTTGGCTCATGTTCTGAATTGTATAAGTATCAGAGAACTCACCTTTAACAATCATATCGAATGGCGTAGCTGGTAGCTTGAAGGGCTTGTTAGGAATACCGACGCAGACCAGCGTGCCAAAAGGCCGCAACATCTGCATGCTTTGTTCGTAGGCTCGCTCGCCGTTGGCAGTGCAGATCACAGCATGTACACCAAAGGTTGTCTTGGCTTTGACTGCCTGGACAATGTCGACTTCGCGGTAGTCCAGAAATTCCGTAGCCCCAAGCGAAAGGCATAGTTGCTTTTTCTTATCTCCGCTTTGGAAGCACCAACGGTTTAGTTTGTTATCAAGGTGATAGAAAATGTTCAGCTCGAAATATCCCATACCTGTCAATCGCAATGACCTTGAGGCCCTTTTTAGCGGCAATTTGAATCCCCCTGCAAGAAATATATTTGTCAGAAAACATAGTTTCCAGTCATCAAAAGCTGGGCTGTGAATGTACATATGACCAAGGCCACCTCCAGCACCAAGGATGGCAAGGTAGTCTCCCGGACGGGTTTTGGTCTTCATGATAGAAGAATACATGGCAATTCCAGCTGGAGATAATTGTTAGCGTTTGTATTGGCGAAATACCAATGGAAAAAAAAATACCACACAAAAGAGGCGCGGCACTATCTGGTGAAAGTTGCTCCGGAATCTTTGTCACATGAAGTGCTGGACTGACAATATACTCTGAGGCATCATATTAGAAGTGTTCCAATGGACTGGATAATCACATCGATAGATATAATACTTACGCTGGAACGTTCCAGGTACATTCTAAACCATCAATGCAATCAGTAACGGAAGTGATAGTGGGAGACATATGATTTGCGACGGTTAACAACTTACTGCACCAGCGTTCTTCTGATATGGGCATACGGTATGGTTGATTTCACAAATTTCGCACTGGCGACAAGAGCTGTAGAGCCATCTACCAATGGGAATGCCACCAGCGTCAATATAACTTCAACCGGATGACCAATTTGCGGAGACAGACCTGATACCAACCCGCGTTCCCATCCATTGCTTCTCGTCAACTTCCGGTCCGACTAGGGATAACGAAGAATGTAAGTATACGTTTTGCGCTGTGTCAACCTGTTGCAGTGATAGTTCTCACCCTTGACTACTTTCCCAACACCTTCATGACCCGCAACATCAGTCAACATAGGCGTGTCGCCACGGATGCTGTGGAGATCCGAGTGACATACTCCAGAAAACTCGAGCTTGACGAGGATTTCGCCTTTTCCTGGAGTCGGCACCGGGCGATTGCTTTTGATCCTCACCTTTGCGGAGACAGGAGTACTCATGGATGCGATCACAGCAGCGATTTGAATCGGGGGGGTTGGAGGAATCGACATATTGCTGGTTGCTATGAATATTTGAGATCACGCGTTTGAAATAGTCTGTGAATATTTACGAGGACACTTTGGCTTAAATGATTCGGTAGTTCAGACCTGACCCGACCGATAGGCGGCATTAGTCGTATCGCAGATGCGGGGGTGCGAGGGAAGGGTGCAAAGATAAGCAGAAACAGTTACCTATGTACAATGGTAATAGATGCCAAGATATATTGGGAAGGATCTCGAATCTGGGCAGATTAGGCAGGTTGAACCGGGGATGAAGATGGAGAAGATATCAATAATAATCGATTACGAAGATAGAATCAATCTGACACTTCTCTTTTACAGAGTTCAGGGTCAACAATTCAATTAAACAATTATGTGTAAGCCGCAGGTCTGACATCAGAACAATCATGAAGGAATATAAGACAAGGACTCTGTTAGGCAGAGCCGAAAGGAAGGAAGTGGTACAGCACTCCGAATGCAGCAGAAGGTCTCCGAGTCGTGTGAAAAACTCGAAAACTAAGGTATCAAAGATGAAATTCTAAACCCATGGAACGCCAGAAAATCATGCATTCTCGGACTGGATTGTTTGCTGCAAGTAGAGGCATAGTTAGATTGAGAAATTAGTAGGTTGGATTGGGGAAAGACACGAACCACCAGCCAATCCATTCCTTCATTAATACCCTTGCCATCGATGGCAGAGCAAGCAACAATACTCCAGTTTCGGTCCCGCAGCTCTCCCAGCTTCAAAGCCTCTGAGATCTCGCCTGCGCCCTTGGCACCGGGTTGATCTTGTTTGTTGGCGAACACCAACAATGCCGCATCGTGAAGTTCCTCCTCGTTCAACATGGCTGCTAATTCATCCGCCGCAGTCCCTAATCGCTCAATATCTGTGGAGTCGATGACAAAGACCACTGCTGCGGTGTTGGCATAGTAGCATCGCCAGTATGGGCGGATAGAAGTTTGGCCACCAAGATCCTACAATCCAGGGATGTTAGTTATGACCCGAATGAGGTTAGAGATGGGTAAAACATACCCAGACATTGAGATTGAGGTTTTTATATGTGACCGATTCGACGTTGAAACCGATTGTAGGTATCGTGGTGACGACCTCACCAATCTGTGGGCGCGAGTCAGCCCCACGTATCTCACTCAAACGCGCCAGAAAACACCAGTTTCAAAGCCATAATATCTTACCTTGAGTCTGTAGAGCAAAGTAGTCTTTCCAGCGTTATCCTAAATCCCAGAAAAAAATGTTAATTAGTTTCAGTTCTTGCCACATTAATGAGAACCCGTTTCCCCCGCGTGGGACGCAGTGAGACACAACGTACAAGTCCTAGAATCAGGATGCGGATCTCCTTCTTGGACCAAAGCAGAGACCAGATACGCGATAGTGAACCTCCCATCGTGTGTATGATTAACTAGAGGGCGCGTTGTTCAATGTTCGGTTCACAGGTCGTCCGGACAAGTATGGAGCTGAGGATAATGGGTTGAGGGGCGCGTAAGTCGTATGAATTGAGGGAAACAAGACAAACTTGCTATGGGGGGTTTATGGTATAAGTAGATGAGATAGAGGTGAAAGAGAAGAAGGCACTTGGTGGCAACCACTTTGGATGTTCCGTTCTTTGGCCGATCGGCCTGTGCGGTGTGGGCGGTCAATCGGGGGATCATCGTCTTGCGGGATTGAGCTCCTCATTTAGAAAACCCCCATTGTCTCTTTCCCTCCGTCATATTCTGCGTTTGTTCACTTGTATCGCGTTGCACGACTACCTCCCACCGTATCAAGCGCAACCAGGGAACTGCCGTCACCTCCGGCGCACTCCCTAGATTTGCCGCGATTAGTCTCAATTGAAGACAGCCGACCACGGACCGATACCATCATGGTGGGAAAGAAGTCGGGCAAGGCCCTCCGGGACGAGGGTAAGGCGATCCGATCTAGCTGGTGGGAATAAACCCGTCAACAACAGAGTAGCTAACGTTTGACATAGGCCTGGAGCGGACTGACAATAACATGGAACTATCCAGCTGGCCGCAGATCCCAGCAATCAACCAGAAGAACTACTACACGTACGTATACCCAGACCGATATCTGCCGCATGGTTCTAGTTGAGGAAGTCGATACTGATTGCACTATGTAGTGACTACCTGAAACGAGACGATCAAAACCTCGCGTTCCGACTCCAAAACGA